CATGGACGCCGATGTCGTCATCATCCCCCCATTCGGACTGCAGAAAGGTACGAAGACGAACGGTGAGATGGCTGCGATGGTGTTTCGCGAGACTCAAGCAGCCCAACAGGCGAACACGCAGCCCGCAACGCAGTCAGAGAGATGCGTGCACAATGATGGTAAAGCGTGGCGCTGTCCCGCGAGTAGAGTGGACGATACGCCGTTTTGTTCGAAACATGGACCGGTGAAGTATGCGACTTCCGTTCGAGTTCGTCCTGTGTCGTTCACAACTCAACAGGGTCTTGAGGTTACTTACGCGGGTCCTCCCTCGGCATGCGTCATCCGGAGCGTTGCAAGTACGCCCATCGCTAGTTTGGATTTATTGTCGCTCAAAGATCCCGAGAATTTCGAAGCACACGCTTGGAAAATTGAGAGCCAACTCAAATCCTGCGATGGGCTCATCCGGCGCGATGGCCCCTGTGGTCGCTTTCGTGAGAACGCTGTCGTGCTCGAACGAGGTGGCGTGTGGGTACCGTACGAAACGTATGAAGCTCGTCTTATCACACTCCTTCCGGGGACGCCGCCAGGGTCGAGTGTTGCCTCAGAAACGGTGCTCAATCAGTGCATCGAAGACATCAACAGGATCAATGCGTCTCGCAGCGCCGCAAATGAAGGCGAGAACGACGACTCTAACGAAGATCCAACCGCGTCCGACGGTACGAATGAAAACTCTGCTCCGATTGATGGCTCGCCGGGCGACGATCCGACGGTAAAGATGCCAACTGGTGCTCGTGAAGTGCGCCTGCGACTCGCTGAACTTCACCGTCAGCTTAACACTGTCAAGCGAGAGATCTCCGGGTTGAAGGAAACGGGAGTCGAACACGCAGAGGCACTGAAACGCGAAGGTGGCGAAGATGAGAGCGAGTACGCCGCGTTCGAGCAGAGCATCAATCGCGCGCTTCAGTTGACGTAGACATAGAGATGAAACAATTTATGACAGTTGTTTGACAAATTACAGTTTTTGTTGCGGTTTAATCTGTTTCCTCTATCCACTAAATCCGTAGGTCCTGATGCTTAAGCGGGGCATTTACATCTTGAATGTTTCTATCAGTATTTGCATCGCTCACTTGTATTGTGCCATGAAGTTCTCGTGGAAGTCAGCGAGCTTGATGGCGACGCCTTCAATGTCCTCCTCGCTGGGCAAGAAGGTGATGCGGTAGTGCCACGTGCCCGGCTTTTGACCGAAGCCAGAGCCCGGAACGGTCACGATACCAGTAGCGAGCAACAAGCGGCTGCAGTACTCAGCATCCGGAACCTTGCCGGCGGCCACGCAGTCGTCCATGAATTTTTGCGGGAACGTCAAGTTCGGGAAGCAGTACATAGCACCATCTGCAGCGTTGCAGGTCACGCCCTCAAGCGCGTTGAGTGCCGCGCTTAGCTTGATGGAACGACGCTTGAGCGATGCAAGAATGTCGTCGCGCTCCTTACTGAAGAGTTCGTAGGACGGCTCGCCCTGCTTGGGCGGGTCCATGACCATCGACGTGCACACCTGGCCGGCGAGGTTTGGACAAAGAGCGATGGAGGCGAGCTTGAGAAGCGCATCCTTAATGCCTTCATCCCAGTTACCGGTGAGCTCCATGTATCCCCCACGTCGGCCACACTCGCCGTAATAACCCTTACTGATGCTTTGGAAGCTCAGGCACGCCAACTTATCTGTGAGACCCGCGTCGTGCACGATCTTGCGCATGCTGGTGAACTTCTTGCCATCAGCATATACGTTCTCCTGGTAAACTTCGTCGGAGATAAGCATGAGGCCCTCGTCAGCGCAGAACTGAGCCGTCGCGGTCAAGTTTTCGTCCGGAAGAACGTTGCCGGTCGGGTTGCCCGGGTTGATGACCACGAGTGCGCGGACATTCTTGCCTGCGGCGCGTGCGCTCGCGACTTGCTCCTTCAGGTGCTCAACGTTAAGCGTCCATCCGCCCTCTTCGTCGAGGTAGTACGGCGTGAGCGTACCCCCGTACAGCGTAAGTGCCGCGGAGTACAGCGGGTACTGCGGAATCGGGCACATGATGGCGTCGTCCGCGGACTTGATTAGCACGTTCATGATATGGTGGCACCCAGCCGAGGCCCCGTCAAGCAAGAACAGGTCATCCGCATCGCACTTGATCCCATCCCTCGCCGTGATCCCCTTCGCGACGCGTTCACGCAAGACGTACACGCCCTTGGACTCCGAGTAAGCGCCCGTACCGCCTCGAATACTTCCCTTGTACTCCTGCGCACGCGCGACCACATCCGACGGGAACGCGCCGTCAAGACCTTGGCAATCCAACGCCGCGAGCACCTGACGGAAGAACGTCACCGGCTTCTGACCCAGCGCGTGCGGGTTTCCGATGTTACAGTACACCACCTTATCGAACGGCAGCTTCGCACCGCTCGCGAGATCCTTCTCGAGCTGTTGCGCCTTTTGCACGATGGGCCCTCTCACCGCGTACTCCGCGGCGAGCACGGCTGGATTCACGCTGTTGTCCGACGCTCGTCCCATCGCGATCGAGAGATGATTTCTAATTCCACAGAAAACCGCGGTCTCGGTCGCGCGCGCGCGTGTGCGGTCGACGAGCACGCGCGCGAGGCCCCGATGGATGATGGACGAGCGCCCGCCGGGCCCCCTACGCGCGCCCTTCACCGTACTGTACGTCGTGTTCGCAGATCAATCACACGTCTCGGTCGACATCCTCGACGCCTCGGCGTCGTCGACCGGGCGCGGTTCACGTCACGTGCACATTTTTATTGATGTGCATATCGTATACTGTCATCACAAATGGTATGTGGAACCACGCGTGGGATTCGAGGGTGGTGCCGTCGCGACGAGTCGCGACCGACCGGTCGAGTCTTTAAATTTTAACGTGGCGCGTGCGGTCGCATGTGATGGGTTTTTCGTCGGTCGTAACTCGTGATGATGTCTGAGACTCGAGCGATAATGTCCAGCCTCGGTGGGTCATGACTCGTAAAAGACGAGGGACTCGGAAAAGACGAATTTTGCAGAATAAAGCCGAGGGGGAGATGGATGACCTAATTTGGTTTTGCAACTTTTTTCGGGAAAATGGGCTCATTTTCGGCGTCGTGGCGTTTTTGCGCGCAAATGAGCCCATTTTATCTCCCCATGGGCTAATTTCATATCAAAATTAGCTTTTCACGCCGTTTGATAAAAATATGCAATCCTCCATCTCCCCGTTGCGTTGGCCTCAATTTCGATAATTTCCATATGGGTTTTTCGTCGGTCGTGACTCGTGACGGTGTCTGAGACTCGAGCGATAATGTCCAGCCTCGGTGGGTCGTGACTCGGAAAAGACCCTCGTCAAAGTTATGGAAAAGTTATCGTAGCGTCAAAATGAGGGTTTGGCAAAATGCGGAATGCTCTTTTACGTGGAATGAGACTTGGACGTGGTGGACTGAGTTTCACTCCGCGACGGCGCATGTCGTCGAGGGCGTCGCGTCTTACCTCGTTCGTGGTTGGACACGCGCGATATCGACGGTACGCGCGAACGACGCTGGCGACGCGCGATCGCGTGATCGGTGGAGGACGAATGAGCGAGGAGAGGGAGGAATTCGATCGAGGTCGGTGTGCCAAGACGATGCGATTCGCTCGGACGAGTGCGACGAGGGCGAGGCGGGGCGGAGACGACGTTGGGTACGAGGGAGAGGTGCGGTGTACGGCAAAGGAGACGGAGGTGTTTGAGACGCTGCTAGCGGTGGTGGAGCACTTCAAGTTGGACGTCACTCTGCGAGTGGCGGGCGGTTGGGTGCGGGACAAGCTCGTCGGGAGAGAGAGCGACGACATCGACGTCGCGCTGGACACGATGTTAGGGAAGGAATTCGCGGAGAAGGTAAATGAGTACTTGGAGGCGAACGGGATGGAGACGAAGGGAATCGGGGTGATCCAGAGTAATCCGGAGCAGAGCAAGCACTTGGAGACAGCAACGATGCGTGTGCGAGATGTGTGGTTAGACCTGGTGAATTTGCGTTCGGAGAATTACTCGGAGGACAGTCGCATTCCCGATATGGAGTTCGGGACGGCGAAGGATGACGCTTTTAGAAGGGATCTGACGATCAACTCACTGTTTTACAACTTGAACGAGAAGAAGGTTGAGGATTTCACAGAGCGAGGCATCCAGGATTTACGGGACGGAATCGTGCGCACGCCGCTACCGCCGCGAACCACCTTCCTGGACGATCCTTTGCGAATCCTGCGAGCCGTGCGCTTCGCCGCTCGGTTTGGTTTCGACGTAGACGAGGAGATCGGTGCGAGCGCGAGCGATCCGGATGTGCAAAACGCGTTGAAGCACAAGGTGAGTCGGGAGCGTTTCGGAAAGGAAGTGGTGGGGATGCTCAAGGGACGCTCGCCAGCGGACGCGGTGGCGCTCATGGTGGCGTTCAAGATCACTCCAATTGTATTTCAAGTTCCCACGCAGAGCGTCGTCGATGCAGTAACGGAAACGGCGGATCGTCTGTCTCTGTATTCGACCCGTTGCATCGAACGCGCAATCAAAGAGGTGGCATCGATCGAGTCATGGTTGGATGAAGAACACAAAATTTGGCTCTTCCTCGCGTCTTGGTTGTTGCCTTATCGCGCGTTGGAATCGATCGGGGCAAAGGGGAAGAAAGTCCCTGCCGTGAGCGATATCGTGAGCAACGCTCTCAAACTTCGATCGAAGGATGCGGACACCGCGGTGCACATCCACGAGTCATTGTTCCTCGCGAAGGCTCTACTGGAGAACAAAGAGTTCACTCGCCTCGAAGGCGGGATGGCTCTGCGGAAGATGGGGTTCACATGGCGTCTGCCCGTCCTTCTCGAGAGCTTGACGCGAGTCCCTGGTATGAGAGATTCCGAAGTGCCGCAATGGGCGGCTGATTATGCTGTGAACCCAGATTCGGCTCCAGCGGATGTTCGCGAACGCGTCGAAGCCGGTGTAAGGATGGCGGTCGACGATTTCGAAGCCGTAGAGCGACGAATCACAGAATTCAACTTGAACGCGTGCTGGGAACAGAAGCCACCGGTCACGGGTCAGGACGTCATGGCGGCATTGAACATGACCAAGGGAGGTCCGCAGTTGAAGGCTTGGATCGACAAGTCCATCGAGTGGGTGCTTGAGGATCCCTCCATCACGAAGGAGGCGTGCATCGAACGAATTAAACAAGGATAGGAGCTTTGATACAAACGAATAGAACACAATTACAACAATCTATCGCCGTTCCATCACCACCAAGGCTCGTCGAATTCCTCGGTGGAAATTATGACAACTGCCTCCGCCGGAATTGCGGGTTTTCCCGGAGGACTAATCATGATGAACACTTTACCCTTACTCCGAGAAAAGTTCTCAGTGAGTGATTTTAGCGCGTTAGCGTCGATGAGCGCCGATGCAAGGCCCACCGAAGCAGCGGGAGCGGACACCGACGTGATGTAGCCAATCGGTTTGCCACTCACTTTCCCAACGGTTGTGTCGTTGCGCCGTCGCGACTTCGTTTCCGACTTCTTCGAGCACCACGCGTCACGCTGTACGTCGTTCGGAATGTATAATTCTGAACCGAGCGTTGGCTGGCCAGCCCAAGGACATCTCAAGTTCACGCGAACCATTGTCTCTGAAGGAAGTGTGCCGAGATCAAGCTTTTCATCGGCCACTCGCAAAACTCTGCGAACTTTGACGTCCTTCATGCGCACTTCGAGAGCGCGAAGACACGATGAAACTTTACCCAACGGCATTTTAGACTTGATTTTCGACACTGAGTCGAATAACTCCGCGCGCGCATCAGAACCAGCCTTGGTGTCCAGGTAGTCATCAGGGAAAGCTGCTCGACCGAACCGTCGAGCGCACCACAACCACTCAGCGATTCCAGCGGGTTTCGCGCCAGTTTGGCACACCCCTAACCACAATGGTAAACTCCACGACGCGGATACTATCAATGTATACCCATCCATGGCGACGGGCCCTCGGTTGATGAGCATGGCTGAGTACGCCTTCACCCCGATGGCGGACGTTTCCTCCCAAGGGCGCTCCAACGCAGCTCGTCTCGATGCAATTCGACTGGCGTCGTACTCGGCTTGAGTCGGTGCGGTTTCGCTTGGATTTTCAAGCGCACTTCCATCCACTTTGACTTCGCAAGCGGCCGCACGCGGGTCCATGGAGACGAATCGACGAATACCACGCTGTGTGTGCTGCTCGGCGTACAAGTCAATAGACGGCACCAATCTCTGAATCACCTCGAAAGCCTTCGCGCCTATGATATCAACGCGAGCGAACGCATCGGATGCTTTGAAGTCGTACTGTACGTTTTCGTCAACCTTGATGCGGCTGAACGCCTTGTGCACCGCTTCGCTCACTCGAGGATGGACCCAAATATGCACCTCTGAACCATCCTCGCTGTTCGGAGCTCGCGCGTGATACACCAAAGCAGGGGCTATAATTCGCCGTCGTTTCGCTGAAGACAAAACGTGTATCACGCTAGCGCGCTGTCCAGACTTAAACGCCTCTGTACGAAGCGCTTTGGTCTCCAACACCACTTTGACCAACGCAGCGCGCACGGCTTTGGCTTCACCCTTCATCACGAAGCACGTATTGTACGACGAATCGTGCGCTATCGCGCTCTGCGATATCGAACGCATGATGAAGCGCCATCCGCGCCCACGCCCCGGGCGCGCGCTCGGCACGATCCATCCCCAACCGAGCGGCTTGCGCATTGCGAACCTGTGTTTTAAGTGTTGCGTCAGTCCTCATTCACGTCTCGATCGCGATCGCGATCCGTATCCAACGCCTCAGTCGATATACCAAACGGTAACTGTGTACGCTTGTCTCCAGCGAACGCCGAAACGTCCTCGGATTGGCTGGGTGCGTGATTTCGTCATCACCGGCGTCCAGGCGTTGCATCGCTTTGAATCGCGTCTCTACGCACCTCTTCGCGTGCCACACGTGCGTTCGCAGCGTCTTCACCTCATTTCCATCATCATTCAACCTTCGTCTGGCGTTCAGCGCCCCTCGCCGCCGCGTCGCCTCCCTCGCTCGCCTGAACGCGTCTCCCGCGCGTCCCTCCCGCGTCCGCTTCAAATTCGGCCGTCTTCGCGTCACCCTGGGCGCAAAGCTCCTCGCGCGTCGCCTCAAATGTCGCGGCAACGACTGTACCCCGAGTTTCTTCCCCGTTCGCTCCTCGATCGCGCTCGTCGTCGCCAATAACTCGGCCGCGCGCGCGGTGGCGAAATCCCAAACTCGAAGAAATTTCGTCCCGCTTCCCCTCTTTCGCTCCGCGCTCGCCCCATCGTCGGGCGCGAGGGCGACGACGCGACGCATATCGTCCCTCGCTCGCGTCTCGCCCCCCGCGCGCGGGCGCGACGTGCCCGACGCGTCGTCCGCGCGCGCCGAGTGACGCCTTTTCGATACACGACACTCGCACCGACGGCGTGCGTTGAAAATGAAAACCATTTCATCTCGTACGAGCACGGTCACCGGCGAGGTGAAAAAAAAAAACCTCTCGCGCGCGGGCGACGCGCGCGGGCGTCGTCGCGACGTCGTCACCGCGCGACGCCGCGTCGCTCGAGCGAGATCGCGCCCAAAGCACGCACCGCGCGCGTTTTCACGGTCGATCGCGATGGACGACGTGAAGGGCGCGCTCGGGAAGGGGCTCGACGAGGCGGCGGCGATGACGGAGGGAACCGCGCCGATGGATCCGGAAAAGGCGGCGAAGAAAGCGGCCAAGCTGGCGGAGAAGGCGGCGAAGAAGGCGAAGGCGGAGGCGAAGGCGGCGAAGCAGAAGGCGGAGGCGGAGGCGCGGGCGAAAAAAGAGGCGGAGGGAGGTGGGGAGTCGAAACGGAAGAAGAAGGCGAGCGGGCCGAGCGAGGAGGACGCAAAGGCGCTCGAGAGCGCGCTTGCGACGCCGAAGGGAGAGATGAAGGATTTGGTGCACACGGCGATGGCGACGTCGTATAATCCGCAGGCGGTGGAGGCGGCGTGGTACGAGTGGTGGGAGAAGTGCGGTATGTTTACGCCGAAGATGGGGACGAACAAGCCAAAGTTTGTCATCGTCATCCCGCCGCCAAACGTCACGGGCGCTTTGCACATCGGACACGCACTGACGAACGCGATTCAAGATACTATTGTGCGCTGGAGAAGAATGAGCGGATACGAGGCGCTTTGGGTTCCTGGAACCGATCACGCTGGGATCGCCACGCAAACCGTCGTGGAGAAAAAGTTGCAGCGCGAGGAGGGCGTCACGAGACACGATCTCGGCCGGGAAAAGTTCCTCGAGCGCGTATTCGAGTGGAAGGACGTGTACGGAGGGAAGATTTGCAACCAACTTCGCCGAATCGGTTCCTCCATGGACTGGTCGCGAGAGGCTTTCACCATGGATGAGAAGCTTAGCAAAGCCGTCAAGGAGGCCTTCGTTCGCATGCACGACGAAGGTTTGATCTATCGCGACAACCGGTTGGTGAACTGGAGTTGCCAGTTGAAGACCGCGATCAGTGATATCGAGGTCGATCACATCGAACTCGAAGGTCCGACGATGCTGTCCGTGCCGGGGCACAAGAAGCAGGTTGAGTTTGGCGTCATCACGTCCTTCGCATATCCTCGCGAAGACGGACAAGGTGAGGTTGTCGTCGCCACGACGCGTATCGAAACCATGCTCGGCGATACTGCCGTCGCGGTTCATCCTGAGGATGAGCGTTACAAGAGTCTCCACGGCAAGTTCCTCGTCCACCCGTTCAACGGACGTAAAATCCCCGTCATTTGCGACGCCGAACTTGTTGACATGGAGTTCGGTACCGGTTGCGTAAAGATTACGCCGGCACACGACCCGAACGATTTCCAAACTGGTAAGCGACACAATCTGGACTTCATCAATGTCTTCAACGAGGAAGGTTTGATCAACGAGCAAGGTGGCGAGCAGTTCCAAGGGATGAGGCGATTCGAGTGCCGTGTCGCCATCACGGAGGCGCTCGATAAGCTCGGTCTCTATCGCGGCAAGGCAAGCAACCCAATGCGTTTGGGTCTGTGCAGCCGCAGTAAGGATGTTATCGAGCCCATGCTTAAGCCGCAATGGTGGGTTAACTGCGCAGGCATGGCGAAGGATGCATGCGATGCGGCTCGCGACAAGCGCCTCGAAATTCTTCCCTCCTTCATGGAGCCAACTTGGTTCAGATGGCTCGAGAACATTCGCGATTGGTGTATATCTCGCCAACTTTGGTGGGGTCATCGTATACCAGCGTTCTACGTGCGTTTTTCGGGAGAAAATGACACGGATAGTGGCATGCCAGGCGGTAGCTCTGAGCAGCTCGATCGCTGGGTCATCGGCCGCGACATGGCTGAAGCGCGCACCGTGGCTGAGAAGAAGTACCCAGGCAAGGAATTTACCCTCGAACAAGACGAAGACGTTCTCGATACGTGGTTCTCCTCCGGTCTATTCCCGTTTTCGGTGTTCGGTTGGCCTGATGAGACTCCAGACTTGGCAGAATTTTATCCAACGTCCCTCCTTGAGACTGGTCACGACATTTTATTCTTTTGGGTCGCTCGCATGGTGATGATGGGCATGAAGCTCACCGGCAAGGTTCCATTCAAGCAAGTCTATTTGCACGCCATGGTTCGAGATGCGCACGGGCGTAAGATGTCGAAGTCTCTCGGTAACGTGATCGATCCGCTTCACGTCATCGAAGGCATCGATCTCGCTGCCCTGAACGCGACTCTTCTCGGAGGCAACTTGGACGAAAAGGAGGTCAAGAAGGCCACGCAAGCCCAAAAGGCTGACTTTCCGGAGGGCATCCCCGAATGCGGCACTGATGCGATGCGTTTCGCTCTCGTGTCCTACACCGCTCAAGGCCGTGACATCAACCTCGATGTCCTTCGCGTTGTGGCTTACCGACACTGGTGCAACAAGCTGTGGAACGCCACCAAGTTTGCGATGATGAACTTGGGCGACGGCTACGTACCACCGACTGATTTTAACTCGTCGTTCGACGTCAAAAATATTCCACTCGCGGCCAAGTGGGTTCTCAGTCGTCTTAACGCGGCATGCGCGGGGACGAATGCGGGCATGGAGGCGTATGATTTCAATAATGCGACGAACTCCGTGTACGCGTTCTGGCAGTACGAGCTTTGCGACGTATTCATCGAGATCATCAAGCCCATCATGAGCGGAACTGACGAAGTCGCGAAGAAACAAACCAGAGATGCTCTTTGGATTTGCCTTGACGCTGGTTTGCGACTCCTCCACCCTTTCATGCCCTTCGTCACCGAGGAGCTTTGGCAGCGACTCCCGCGAACACGCGATGAAAACACTCCAAAGAGTATCATGATTGCTGATTATCCCATCGCCGTCGATTCCTGGGCAAACGTGGAGGCCGAGGTGCAGATGTCCGCCATCATGGATACCGTCAAGGCCTTCCGCTCGATGAAGTCCAATTACAACCTTCAACCCAAGGCGCGACCGGAGGTCTTCTTCTCCACAAAGTCGGCTGATGTGGAGGCGGCTTTGAAGGCTGATGTCGAAGGTCTTACCACTCTTGCGTCAGTGGGCGAAATGAAGCAACTTAGCGAAGGTGAGTCCGCCCCTCCGGGATGCGGTGTTCAAATTGTGAACGAAAACATCACCGTGTACATGCTTTTGAAGGGCGTCGTTGACGCGGCTACGGAGATTGCGAAGCTCGATAAAAAGCTCGACTTGCTTCAAAAGTCTACGGATGCGCTCATCAAGAAGACTGAAGACGAAGGATACGAGAGCAAAGTGCCAGAAAACGTTCGCACCGCGAACGCAGAAAAGATTGCCAAGCAAACTGAAGAGATCAGCTCTATCAACGCAGCGCGCGCGGAATTCCAAGCCCTCCTGTAGAACTGCGCGTTTAGTTGATGTTACACGATGTCATTCTATTAAATCAGAGCCGCGTCAGCGTTTCCTCCTTCGACTGAGGAGAGCGAGGCGACGCAGATCCCGGAGATGTTCCACGAACCTCCATGAAGGCGTTTGCAGTGAACTGAGACCCCGTGCCTGGCGACACAGTGGGCTTCATGTTGATGAAGACCCGCGTGCCTGACGTCGTCCTATTCACCGCAGGACTCGGAGAGTTCTCCTGCGAATCTTCTTGTGGTACAAAGCTAGCGGAACGTTTGATCTCTTCTAGCTTTTTGCGAAGCTCTTCTCTTTCGCGAGCTTTCGCTAAGGAGTCGACGCGAACAAACTCTGCTCTCTTCTCTCGCTCGTCCTTTTCTCGCTGCAGTTTTTGTAACTCTCTCCAGCGAGCTGCAGCCTCCGCGCGCATGCGTTCCTCCGCCTCTGTCGCTTCCTGCTTAGCTTTTTGAACGAACGCGGCGTTGATCTCAGCCTCTTTTTTGCGGGCTTCATCGTCCATCGATTGCCTCCCTGCCTTGTACGCGTGATAGTAATGTGATCCGCCCTCTGACGCCGTTGTACTCGTCTTTGGTGGCGATTTGGCGGTCGTCTGAGAGCTCGCTGGCGAACCTCGAGTCCATGAACGAGTTGGCGCAGTTTGTTGTCGAACAAAGGTTCGATTCGGTTTGCCCATGCTCTCCCAAACCTTTCGACACGCCTGCAAGAGCTTGAACGTTTCCTCGCACAGCGCGTGCTCCTTCAGGCCTCCGCCGCGAGCCGCGGCGCGGTCGGGATGGAATTTTAAGAGAGCCTTTTTATAGGACGTCTCGATGTTCTTTCCTTCCTCGTGGATCTCGAGCCGAGTCAACAGACCTTGAAGATCGCCGTTCTCCGCTATGTGATACAGACCCTCAGTCTTCAATGCCTCTTGCGAGTGCACGCGATACGCGTCGAGATCTTCCGCCTCTTTGGCGCGAACGTCTCTCTCTTCGCGATGCGTCTGCGAGCGCTCGAGCGCACGCCGTTCTTTCCTTGCGATACTCTTCAATCTTCGCGCCTCCTCACGCTGTCTCGCCAACTCCTCCGCTCGCTTCTCCCACTCGATTCTGTTTGCCTCCGCGCGAGCTCTATCGCGTTCATCCTCCGCCGCGTCCACCGCGTTCGTCGCCTCGAACACGCGCTCTTCGAAGAACTGTATCTTTTCTTTCGTATCCGCCGAGTCGCTATCGTTCGGAGACTCATCCTCGGCCCCCGACGAGGACGCCTCCGCGGCGCGGAACGTCTCCGCCGTTCCGTCCGCAGCGCGCGCGCTCGAACGCGTCGCAAACACCTCCGGGACCCCACTCGTCGCCTCCTCCTCCACAAACGCATCCGTCATCTCATCATCCACGCACGCGCACGACGACTCGGCCTCGTCGTCGCCGCCCGTCAGCTCCACCTCCATCGCCACCGCGCCGCGCGTCGTCCCCGACGTCGCCCGCGACCGCGCCTCCCCACCATCCGATTTCCCATCCACGCTCACCCTCGACGTCGTCGGCGTCACCGTCGTCGCCCGCGCGCGCGCCGTCGCCGCCGTCGCCGTCGCCCTCGCCGTCGCCTCGCCCGTCCCGCTCGAGCGTCCGTTGGACAATCGTCCGAGGACGCATCCGAGGATGAACCACAGCGCGTGCGCGAGTCCACGGCGGAGGACCGCGAACGCGGTGACCTCGCACGCGTCGAGCGCCATGGTCGTCGTCGCGCGCGAGCGACGCGCGCGAGCTCTGGGGACGTCGCGAGACAACACCATTCGTCGCCCGCGCGACGGTCGCGCGCGTCGATCCACGGCGCGTGTGTCGTCTCCGTATTAAGGACCACGCGTGCGCCATCAGAGGTGCGCGTGCTGGCGTGCGCGTGAAAACGTGTGTGTGTGACGCACATCGGCGTGTCGCTCGTGGTATACGTATGGAGTCTCTCGCCATGGGTCATCACTCGTCGTTGGCCCGCCCACGCGTTTGACCGCGCCGACGTGGGATCGCCCGCGGGCGCGCGCGTGTTCGCGCGCGCGGCATCGCGCGACGCCGGCGCGGAGGACGGGGTCGAGGACGCGCGAACGCGCGCGAACGCGAGCGCGCGCGAGCGGTGATGGGTAACGGACAGAGCGCGGACGGCGGCGCCGATGGCGATGGCGATCTCAACCGAGGACGCGGACGGCGAAAACAAGAGAAGAAGAAGTACGAACCGCCCGCGCCGCCGATGCGGGTGGGGAAGAAGAAGAAGAAGACTGGGATCGAGGGACACACGCGATTGCCCGAGGTGTTCCCGGCGAGTAAGTGTAAGCTCAGGATGCTCAAGCTGGAGCGGGTGAAGGATTACTTGCTCATGGAGGAGGAGTTCGTGGGGAATCAGGAGCGGTTGAAGCCGAGGGAGGAGCGAGATGAGGATGAGCAGAGTAAGATTGATGAGATGCGCGGGGCGCCGATGAGCGTTGGGTCGTTGGAGGAGATAATCGACGACACGCACGGGATCGTGTCGTCGAGCATCGGACCAGAGTATTACGTGAACATCGCTTCGTTCGTGGACAAGAGTCAGCTCGAGCCCGGGTGCGCGGTGTTGTTGCATCACAAGAACTCGGCCGTGGTGGGGACGCTGGCGGATGACGTTGATCCGATGGTGAGCGTGATGAAGGTGGACAAGGCGCCCTTGGAATCTTACGCCGACGTCGGGGGGTTGGAGGAACAGATTCAGGAGATCAAGGAGGCGGTGGAGCTACCGTTGACGCACCCCGAGCTGTACGAGGACATCGGTATCAAGCCTCCGAAGGGAGTGATTCTGTACGGCGCCCCGGGAACCGGTAAGACTTTGTTAGCCAAGGCTGTGGCGAACTCGACGAGCGCGACTTTCTTGCGCATCGTCGGTTCCGAGTTGATTCAGAAGTATTTGGGCGATGGTCCGAAGCTTGTGCGCGAGCTCTTCCGCGTCGCCGACGAAATGAGTCCATCAATCGTCTTCATGGATGAGATCGACGCCGTTGGTACGAAGCGCTACGATTCTCAGTCTGGCGGCGAGCGCGAGATTCAGCGCACGATGTTGGAGCTTTTGAACCAGATGGACGGTTTTGATTCACGCGGAGACGTCAAGGTGATCATGGCGACGAATAGAATTGAATCTCTCGATCCGGCGCTCTTACGTCCGGGGCGCATCGACCGGAAGATCGAGTTTCCGCTTCCAGACGTCAAGACCAAGCGTCACATCTTCAACATTCACACCGGCCGCATGAACCTCTCAGCCGACGTACAACTCGAAGAATTCGTCATGGCTAAGGACGAGCTCTCTGGCGCCGACATCAAGGCGCTCTGCACCGAGGCAGGTCTCCTCGCCCTGCGAGAACGTCGCATGCAGGTCACGCACGCGGACTTTTCCAAGGCGAAGGAGAAGGTTCTGTATAAAAAGAAGGAGGGTGTCCCCGAAGGCATGTTTACGTGATTAGAGGGTGTAATTAGACCGTTTCGTTTCATTTCAATTCGTTCAATTCGTACAATTCATTGGCGGTGGCGTTCATTTCGTGATATTCTTAAGATCTTTGAACTGATCGACACCTTTTGTGAAGATCGCACCTTGCGAAGAGAAGAGTTCGGCCAGTCCCGTATCTCCGGCGGCACCTTTTGTTGTCAAGTACTCGTAGTAGGTCAATGGCCGTTTACCGGTGATATTGTAAAAGTCTGGAGAACATCTCGAGTAGAAGCCGTTACGGAGGTACTCGAAGAACTCTGCTCGCGTGCTGCCAAAATCTTTCTCGAACTGCTCGATGTCTTGGGGCACGTAAGTGATGCGTTTTCCGTACGCCTCCGGGCACACGTCCTTCGCTTCGTCGGTGGCCAGGGCTTTCGTCAAAATATTGGCCACTTCATGCATACTCGTCGACTGGGCCCCACAGATGTCGTAGTACTTATCGCCGTGTCGCTCTGGTCCCTCGACCAAGCACCGCACTGCGGCTTCCGCCATGTCATTGCACGAGACGAAACTGTTCTTACACTCCCCCAGAGGCGACGTGAACGTCCCCTTGCTCTTTATGCTCTCCAGCTCATTCTTCAATAAGTGATTCATATAAAAATTTCCTCGAATGGACGTCAACCTATCCTTGAACCCGGCGTCGATGAAGCACTCCTCGGACCACCAATAGTGCTGCAACATGAGCGGTATCCCGGCGTTATCGCGCGATACGTGCGCATTTGCATCGTACGCGTTCGTGTTCGTATCCGCCCCGAAACAACTGATCCGTACGATGTGTTTCAAATTATTTCGCACCTCGGGCGTTCTCCCACACCATTTCGCGAACGCCATGTGCCGCTCGATGTACTTGTCCTGCGTGCTGCTGAACAACCGAGTCGCCCCCTCCATCGCCGGTCCCCACGTCTTTTCATCCTCAAGGTCGAACCGCGTCGTCTCGTGCGCCCCGAGTGCTTTCGCGTACGCATCTTTATCCCGCGTCGCCGCTCGCACGGTGAATCCGGGGATCGCTCGCAGCCGAGCGATTACTTCTTTGCCCACTCGACCGGTCGCGCCCGTCACCAGAATCACCTCGTTCTCGCTCGACTTGGTCGCGCTCGTCGCGTTCGCTCGAGCGCTCGAGCGGCGGGCGGCGACGCGTTGTCTGTGGACGCGCGCGACGACCGCGACGCGCCGCGCGAGCGAAGACATCGTCGAGGGACGGCGGTGAACAGTGACACGACGCGAGCGCAACCGTCTCAACACGGCCATTTCACGGCGCGACATGGGCGCCGCGGACGACCTCAGGGCCAAGCTCTCCGAGATATCGACCACGCGGAGAGAGGTGCGATCGACGCACGCGCGCTCGGCGACGCGACACGCGAGAGAGGGAACGAACGACTGATTACTCGATGGAATGTTCATCCGCGAGCAGGCTCGAGAGCGTCTGCGAGCGCTCGCGTCGTCGCGGAGACCGAACCCGAGCGCGTTGAGAGGCGCGGATGGGACGAGTGCGTTTAAATCTCGCGAGACGAGGCGAGGAGATGTCCCGGAGGAGAAGATGGAGGCGACGCCGCGACCGCGGGGCGAGCTCGGAACGCGCGAGCGGAGAATGTTCGCCGGGTTGGTCGGAACGCTGAGACAGAGTAAATCGAACCTTGAGGAGAAGGAGCGAGAGGTGCTGGAGAAGCGGAAGGCGATCGAGGCGGCGGTGACGGGGAAGAGCGAAGAGATTCGTCGAGAATTGAGAGAGGCGCAGTACAAGGAGTTTCTCGAGAAGCGAGACGCCGAGGAGAAGAAGAAATTTGAGGTGGATTTAAAGTACAAGGAGACCGAGCGGGCGCTCATCGAGGCCGAGTACGAGGAAATGAAGGCGGCAGTGCGCGATGGGGGGCTGTTGACGAAGACGGAGCCGATACTGGTTTACAAGCGGGCGCGTCGAAGCGCGGACGATGACGCGGCGTGTCAGGAGAGCGAAGAGAGGCTGGAGCTGTGGCTCAAATCACAGCTCGAGCGCATCGACAACGCAATTCGAGTGATTCATAAGAAGCGCGAGGAGACTATCGAACGTCGAGCAAAGGCGATGGCGCGAGGTGAGGATCACGAGGATGTCGACGTAGAAGACGCCGTTGAGGAACTTCAAGATTTCGACGAAGCAATGATCGAAACGTGATCGACAAATACAGAGAATAGAGCTATAGCTACGATGGATACTAATGACATATTAACATATTAATCCTTGAGCATGCGCACGAAATCTCGCGTGTACGGCTCCAAGTAATCGTTCCCGTCAGCTGTGTCTTTTCCCGAGCCCTTCTCATTCCAGTTCAGAACAAAGTCCACGTGGTCCTCCTTGAGGTACAGCAACATCCTCGAGGGTACGCCGGCGTCTTGCAGTTTCCAGTAAAAGTCGGCGCTCTCGTGCCACGGGACCGTGATGTCGGCGCAACCAGCCATGAGGACAGTGGGTGGGAAAGCAACTTCCTCCTCCAGTGACTCGGCAACATCCTCGCTCTTGCGGTAGAAGCCAGCCATCTTTGCCATGACGTCTCCGGTCAAATTATCCGGCCCGGGGACGACGCTTCGCCCATCGCGTTTTCTCCGAGGCATCAAACGCGCCGGACTGCACATGTCAAAGTTTTCAGCGCCATTCATCGCTCGCGCCATCGTGCTCACAATGGCCACTCCTCGCGAATCCTCGTACTCATAATGGTAACCGATGTCATACACCCCAGCTATGCCGATAAACTTTCGAGGCATTCGCGAATCTCGATGCCACTCTCGCGTACTCGTCTTCGATTTCACGTTCTTTACGCCCCCGCGCTGTAAAAGCGCTCGAGCGCATAACTGCGCGCCAGCGGAGTGTCCCACGACAGACACCCTATTCGCATCCCCTCCGTACGTCTCAATGTTATCCATCGTCCATGAGATCGCTCGAGAGATCTCATCCCACATTTGTACTGCGTCCGCTCGCGGATACAACGAATAAGTCGCGACACAGCACACGACGCCTTCTCTCGCGAGCGCCGTCGCCATTGGCGAGAACTGCCACTTTTCGCCAGATGCCCAGACCCCGCCGTGGACGAACAGCGCCACCGGCGCGTTCTCACCCTCAACCAACCCCTCGGGCACGTAAATATCCATCACGCATCGCTCACCGTCGTCGTATCTCACGTCTCGCGACATCGCCACGCCGTGCTCGACACGTCCGTCCCGCTCGCCGCGTCTCGGGAGCTTCCGGTGCGTCCGCAGCGCTCTGTATCCGTACGGAACCTTCGTCACCAGACCGCTGATCTCTTCCACGAAAAGTCGCACGAGCTGCGAACATCTCGCGAGCTTTTTAGACGTCGTCGGGCATCGCGCGAGGTCCTACGCGAGTGAGAGCGGTGAGTCTTGAGGTTCGGACGTTGGTGTCCTTTTCGTCACTTTATCCGACTATTACGACGAGCGAGCGTTCGAAACGCACCGTGGGGATGGCCTTGAAGGCCTCGGTGAAGGACATGCGAGCGCGAGGGGTCGATCGAAAAGTCTCACAAAGCCTTGGCGCTTATCAATGGAGTATTGACTACAAACTGAATCGGGTGAAACAGGCTTCTATGCCTCGGCCTCAGCCTTTTGTTCAGCCTCCGCCTTCTTCGCGAGGCGCTCGGCCGTCTTGCGCTTCTCGCGCTCGAGGAACTCCTCTTGGAGTTCCTTAGCCGCTGCGAGCTTCGAGAGCAACCCCTTGTACATTGACAAATCCCCGGACACCTTGGACATGGACAACCCGCCGGCGGTCACGAGCGCCTCGAGCGCCGCCGGATCCGTCGCCTTGGCGAGCTCCAACATTCTGAACATACCGATCGCGATGTACTTAGTGTACAAAAGCGTGCCCTCGGCGCTCTTCGCGGCAAGCTTGGCGAAGATCGCATTCTCCTTCAACCCTTCGACTCCGTTCGCGGAGGTCGCGAACGCTCCGAGCGTCTCTGCATCCGCCCGCGTTCGCACCGCATCCTCATCAAGCGCGCCCAGGAAGGCGTTGAAGATCTTCCCCTTCTCCTCCTCGCTCGGGAATCCCTCGAAGAGCTGATCGTACACGCTGACGAATCCAAGCGACGCCAGCTCGTTGTACTCGCTCTTTTTGTTGTACTTTTGGAAGTGCCCCTGCACGAGGAGCTCTTGCACCACGGTGGCCCACACGCTCGGGATCGGGTACGGGTACGCCTCCAAAAACTTACGCTTCGTATCGGCCACGGTGACCTCTGCGACGCGTTCGCGCACCGCCATCCCATCGTCAGTCTCGCGCGCGATCGGTCCCATCGCGCCCTCGAACCCTCCACCGCGCGCGTCTTCTCGCCATCCGCCTCGTTCGCGTCCGCGTGCGTCGCGCGCACCGTAGATGCCGGATTGCGCGCGCGTGATCGCGGCGCATCGAGCGCGCGCGGACGTCGGCGCTTTACGGCTCGCGCCGAGCGCCTTAGGCGCGGTCACGCGAGCGAGCTGCGCGCGCATGGTGCGATGTGGCGTCGGGCACCGGTGACGTCGACGTCGCGCTCGACACCGCGTGGGCGTCGTGGACGTTTAAGTTATCGACAAAACTTCATTTTGACGATAACTTTTCCATAACTTTGACGAGGGTCTTTTCCGAGTCACGACCCATCGAGGCTGGACATCATCGCGCACGTCTCAGACACCGTCACGAGTCACGACCGACGAAAAACCCATATGGAAAAGTTATCGAAATTATCTCTTACCCTCCTTGTCCCTTGACGATAACTCGTGGCATTTGCCCACATGTCCGTTCACTTTGATCACACAAAGTCCGACGCGATGGTTCACGACTTCACGACTCGTGAGGGCGACGACGTGATCGAAAAGTTATGAAAATTGACTCTTAGTCGTTTGCGCATAACTCGGGGTATAAAGTTATCGAACACTTCTGTACCGGTAAGACTGGATATATCGGATTGCGCGCGCCGCGGGACGCGCGACGGGCGTTTCAGTGCCCTGAGAGTGACGAATCGAGGCGAATTTTATGAGCTACGTGTGTTTTGTGACGTGCTAGAGCGCTAGGATTGGCGAACTGAGACGCGACGACGATTTGGGGGGAACGCGCGATCGTGCTCGCGCGCGGCTCTCATCAAATCGTCGGCGTCGCATCGAAGAGCCAAGTTTTCGATGAGCGCTCGCGCACTCGTGAGCTGAGACTCGTAGTCTGAGATAATTGAAGCGGTCGCGGCGTCGGCGCGCTCGGCTCGGGCGATCGCCTGCGCCGCGCGCGCGGTCTCGCTCGCGAGGAGGCGCTCAACACGGGCGAGACGCTTGGTGGTGCCCTCAGAGTGACGCCGGATCAGGTTCATCTGTCGTTCGCGTCGATCAACGTCCGCGAGCTTTACCGTGATTGCATCACGCTCGAGCGTGATCGCGCGGAGGGCACGACGGAGGTGGAGCGCCTCAGACGTGCGCGCGGCGTCTCGCTCGCCCGATGTCTCAGCTCTTGCCTCGCCATGGCCCGAGCCGTCCTCCCTAGACAGTTTCGCCTCCAGGGCTTCGTGTAAGCGCTCTCTCAAATCAAAATTTTCCTTTCCCAATCGATCGATCTCGGCGTCGTACGACTCGAACACCCCCAACCATCGCTCCGGGACGTCTCGACTCAACTGTTTGCACCGCTCTCGCCACTCGCGCATCTCCGCTCGAGTCTCCTCGATCACGCTTCGAGCCTCAGCGTCTCTTCGCTCGATGTGTTCTACCAACGCCTCTGCGCGAGACTCCATGTCTGCTCGCTCGCGCTGGGCGTCTCGCAGGTAACGCATCAACGTCGCCGGGCTCTCGTTCATGGCGGGCGAGGCGTCGTTCACCACGCGACGCCTAGACGTCGACGACAACGGCGTATGCGCTCGGACCGGCGTCTCTGGGCGAATATTACCATCGTCCTCGCTCTCGCTCGACCCCTTGTGAGCATTCGACGCTCGATCCCGTCGCAACGGTGCTCGGATGCGCTCGAGGAGCTGTTTCAATTTCGAATCGTTATTCGACGCGTCTCGAGCGCTCGTGCTCGTGCCCGACGACGCGCGAGCGGTTAGTTTATCGTACAACTCGTCAAAAGTTTGCTCATCGTCGTCGGAGGATGATGACATCACGCGATCGACCGAGTCGGGCTGTGCAGTCGACGCGCGCGTGTTCACGACAGATGTCAAAATACTGCGAGTCATTCGTCAAGCGCTACGTTTAAATTACACCTCATTCGGGCCATCGACGACTTTGCACGCTCTATTATCGCACAATCAAAGTTGAATTTACCGAATCGAGTCGAACGATGCTCGTCCCCCGCTCTACTTCGCCCTCCGCACTCACAGCGCGTACGTCGCCATCCAGAACACGAAGTGTACGTACGCGACGCTCATTCCCAAAATCGCCCCCACCACGACCTGAATCGGCGTGTGCCCGAGCGTATCCCTCAACGGCCTCGAGTCCGTCAGCGGATGATCCCTCGGAAGCTCGACGATCAACTGATTCAGGACCTCCGCCTGCCGTCCCGCGTGCAGCCGCACGCCCGTGGCGTCGTACATCACCACGAGCGAGAACACCAAACACAGCGCGAATATGCTACTCGACATCCCCTCCTTCAACCCGATCGACGTACACAAACCCACCACTAAGGCGGTGTGCGAGCTCGGCATCCCCCCGCTCCCGACGACGCGCGTGTAGTCGATCTTCCCCGTGGCGTGATAGTGCGTAAACACTTTGGCGATTTGGGCGATCGAAAAGCTCAGCAACGCGGCGACGAGCGCCGGGGAGCTCACGACTGCGGGTATGTGGGAGATCTTACTCGCCATCGGACGCGATTCGACGACTCGCGCGGCCTCGTGCGCGGCGAGAGGTGGTGAAGACGTCGTCGGGAGGGAAGCGGTGAAATCCTCCGGTTTGATGACGCGTGTGTGTGTCGAGAGAGGGTGTTTTGTTTTCGTGTGAAATTCTCGAGTCATGATTCTTAGCGAGTCCCTAAAAGGAGCGTTTTCGGTGCGTTTTCGTGAACGGCGCGCGCGCGACGACGGGCGTTGACGACGCCGCAGTGTTCGACCGAGCGCGACGGCGATGGCGACGACGACGGATGAGCGACAGCGTTATCGCGTGCGCGCGGACACGGAGGGGGCGCGCGCGGCGATGAAGTCGCTCGGCGTCGACGTGAGCGCACTGGACGAGGACGCGGTGGCGCGCGCGGTGGATTTAGCCAAGCGGCGAGGGAACGAGGCGTTCGGACGACGGGAGTACGCGCGCGCGATCGAGGCTTACACGACGGCGATCGCGGGGTGCGATTGGGATCGGACGCTGTACGCGAATCGGTCGGCGGCGGCGCTGGCGATCGGCTTGGTGGAGGACGCGCTGCGGGACGCGGCGACGTGCGTCAAGATAGACGAGATGTGGGCAAAGGGATGGTATCGGCTCGGATGCGCGCTCATGGCGGCATTCGAGAGCGTGAAGGCGCACGGTGCATTCGCGAAGGGGCTGGAACTCGCACCGGAGAGCGTGGACATGAGAGATCGTCTCGAGGAGGCGCGCGCGGCGGCTGAAGACGAGCTCGAGAGAATCGCTTTGGAGACACTCGCGGTGAGGAGGGACTTGGCGTATAAGCTTCGAGAGGCGCGGGCGCAGGATCGTCGAACGGAGATTGAGAATCAGTGGAAACAGACTATGAATGGACCAGACTGGGATATTGAAGATTATGAGTGGCGGCCGACGTTTCTTCCTCAGATGTGTTTACGTAAAATCGACGCGAGCCGATTCCAGGAGGACCCAGGGCGATTGAACGTCATCAACTACGCGATGTCACTCGCTGATCTCGCGGCGCCGAAGAGATCTTTAAAGATACTGGATGACACCATACGCATGGCGGCTTATAATGACGCGATTGAGCTAACCGTTGGCGATACTGAGACACTGAACTCTACTCTAGTCATCTCCGCCGGCGGCGGCGTCTTACCTCTCATCGCCGCCAGAGCGGGATCGAAAAAAGTATTCGCCATTGAGAGGAACAGGTATTTATATCGCATGGCGAAGCAGATTTTGAAATCAAATGCGGACAAATTTGCAAAGGATACGATTGGTTTGCTGGATCAGAAGCTTCAGGCGTGTTCACTCGCGAAAGCGGATGACGATTCGAGCGTCCGTGGGCCTCAACTCTTGACGCAGCCCTCCGAGCTGATTGTGACCGATTTGTTTGATCATGGTGCGTTTGGTCTGGGATTGTTGAGGGCTGTGGATCACGTGGGGGAGAAAAAGTTGGCGACACCTGATGCACGCATTATTCCGTCTCGAGTTCGAGTCAAGGCACAACTCATAGCACTTCGATTGGATCGTGTGAGTGGATTTGATTTAACCGCACTGAATGCGTACAGGTGGCATCCTCAGGCTTCCAAGCAAGATTTATACTCCGAACCACACGTGGTGCTCTCAGATCCCTTTGATGTCTCGGACATTGACATACAAGCACGTTTGCAAAAAGCTCTCTCAGCGGAGCAATGCTCCGATGGGATGGAACAAGACGACGTCGTGTACGTCACGGCCATCAAAGATGGATCCTGGAACGCAATTGCGTACTGGTTCGAGTGTGAGCTTTGTGATGGCGTCGAGTTGAAGAGTTACGACGTCAGTGGAGACCGCAGTGCCGCAATGAGCTCCCTGGGCGCCGCGGTGCAATACTTGGACGAGATTACAGTCACGCGCAATCAATCGATCGAACTGCGCATCCAGAGGGACGTCGATCGTGTGTACTTTTCGTCAACACCTCCGTCTACGCGACCGCGGCACGCGAACATCGCAAGCTGGCATTACGACATGTTGAACGATGCGTCACGAAACAACGCGTATGAAGCTGCCATCAAGCGCGCCATTGCTCACCGCAAGAAGCAGAATCTGCGGAACGAAGTCTTAGACGTTGGCGCTGGTAGTGGCTTGTTGTCGATGTTTGCGATGCGTGCTGGAGCGGATCGCGTGTACGCGGCCGAGATGAGTAATCACATGTGTGATGCGGGCGAAGAAACTGTTTGCATGAATGGATACGGAACGTCCATCATGTTTCTGAATCGCGACGCTCGAAGATTGTTCACAAAGGAGTCTGAGGGTCTGATTAAGCACGGCTTGAAGCCCGACGGTGTTATGCCAGAGATGGATCGTAAATCAGACATTCTCGTGTACGAGGTATTCGACAGCGGTCTCATAGGTGAAGGCGCGCTGCACATTGTTGGAATGGCCAAGCATCGCTTGCTTGCGTCGAATGCGACAATCATACCCAGCTCGGCGACTGTTTACGCCCAACCAATCCAGCTACGCATCGATCATGTTTCTGGCTTCGACTGCTCACAGGCCAATCGTTGGCGATGGCGCAGCGATTATGAAGGCATTAACCTCGAACTTTGCCGAGACAAGTGGAAACCGCTTGCGCCGTGGAAGGAGGTGTTCGACTTTGACTTTAACAACTACATGGAAAATTTACAGCCCACTCAACGCGCACTCGAGTTTGATATCGACGACGAAGGAGTGTTTAACGCCGTTGCGTTTTGGTTCAAGCTCCAACTCGATGAAGAAACCGAGCTGACGACGTCACCCCACGTTGGCGCGCAGAAAGGACAGACGTGGCAACAAGCTGTGCAATACATTGAGGAGCTCAGAGTCGACGTCGGAGACAAAATGCCGTTGGTCGCGTCTCATGACACGTACGGGATCAAATTTGAAGTCAATGACACCGAGTTACAAAATCGAGTCGCCAAACGCACCGGTGTTCCAGCGTATGATCCGCACTGGCACGTCATGCACGAGCGCATCGCCGAGGCGTCACATGCCATGGCGAAAGCAGTCACACAAAACCCTATGGTTTACCGAGAGGCCGCGGAAACCGCAGTCGCGCTCGGAAGTCGACCGCAAGACTTCGGTCTCTCCGCCGAGGACGGGGGCGAGTACTGTCTCAAGCTCATGGGATAAGCAGCGCGCTCACACGTAGATGCAGCGAAGGGGTTTTCTCATTTTTTTCCTTTTTCGAAGCCGAAAGATTGAATACATTGTGTCTAAACAAAATCTTCCATTTGATCTAAAGTTCTCCACCCCACACGGCGCCGTGCGGAAGCATGCTCAGCCAAAGAATTTACGCGACAACCATGTTGTTCGCCTCAGCGAAACGCTTCTTTTCGGCAGTCGCCGCCGCCGCATCCATCTTCGCCAACTGAGCCTCCTTCCACTTCGGGATGTAAAGCGGCTTCGGACCCTTCGGCGCTCGCTTGTTCTGCTTAGTCGGTGCCGCACCGTTCTCAGCCTGCCACTCCTTGCGCGCCGGATCCGCATCGATGTACGGCAATGACATCAAGTCAAGCCCAGCCCGCTTCGCCATCTCCTCGAGCCCGAGCTTGTTGAGCGTCTTGATGGCGTTCGTGGAGATGCGAAGGCGCACGTAACGCTTTTGCTCCGGCCAGTACACGCGCTTGTACTGCGATTGTTCGAAAACACGTCGTCAACGTCAGTCGCTCGCGCCTAAAGTCTCGCGCGACGCGTCTCGTCGCTTGAGGGTCTAGGGTTGCCCCACCCCAAGCTCCCGTCGCTCTCGCCTCTCGTGCGCACCTGCAGGTTGACTTGCTGCAAAGTCTTGTTACGGATGTGCGAGAAAGAAATCGTGCGGCCATTGTTCGCCTTCTTCCCCGTGAGCATGCACTTGCGGCCGGACATCCCGTGGAGGTCTGCGTCGATGCGACGGGGCGTCGGGTCAGTCTCTATCCGTGCTCCCGCTTCTACCCCCCTCGACGACGCGCCGGTGGTGTTGATCCCTCCACGACCCCACTGATGACTCGGGTGATTTCCTTTCGTTCATTCTCCGCCCTCCCAGGCCCTTCACCCCCACACGCGCGTCGTCACTTCGCATTCGCCATCGCCCCGAGGGCGACGTCGCCACCGCACGCGCGCGCTCGAAGAGACGCACTCTCGATGGTCATCCCCGATCGCTTCACCGTTTCCGGTCGCGTCGTCACCGCGCACGCGGCGCGGAACTTCGCCCCGAGATCGCTCCCGGTGGCGAACGCGTTCGTGAGCTTGGTCGTCGTCGCGGACGCGAACATGTCGACGTCTCTCGCCGTGCGATTGTGCCGCCTCGCGCGCGCCTTAGGGCTTTCTCCCCCGCGCCCCACCGGGGGTCGTGTGTCTCGTATTTTACTTCTTTTGTGTCGATGTATTTCACCATTCGTCCGCCTCGAGACGCCCGATCGGTGAGCGATGAAAATGACGTGCCACCGACCCCGCACTGGGAGACGCCCGTCGAGCGCGACGACGTGCGCCATGGACGCGTCGCGAGACGGCATCTCGAAGCTGATGCTCGCCGAGAAGGAGGCGCAGGCGATCGTGCGCGCGGCGAGGGAGGGTGAGACGTGTGAGACGCGAGCGCACGCGCGAGATTCGTGCGCGATGGCACTCGGTTCGAGCGACTGACGAGGGAGCGCTGCGGACGCTCGACGCGACGCAGAGAAGACGTCGAGGTTGCGCGCGGCGGTGGAGGAGGCGAAGGGCGAGATCGCGTCGTATAGGGCGGAGCGTGAGGCGCGGTACGCGCAGATGGTGGCGGAGGTGCGGCTCGAGCGACGAGGCAGAGATCTCAGAGCGACGCGGCACGCGCGTAGAAGCGAGAGCGGTTGGACTGACGATTGAGCGACGCGCGCGATGGGGTTCGCAGCAAGCTGGGAATAAGGCGGAGAGTGAGAATCGGCTCCAAGCGGAGTTCAACGCGGAGATCGCAAAGCTTCACGGACAAGTGAACGCGGCAAAGGCATCGGTAGTCTCTGACTTGCTAAACGCAGTGACAAGCGCGTGAGGCAATTCAATTAGCACGATACGTGGTACCCAAGCTTCGTCAATAGCATTAGACGCACGTAGTTTACGTTGTTGTACGTATGAATTAATTTACACCGATGTTCGAAATATATGTGTACGCGAGCGTCAGGGAAGCGTGCAAAAGAGCGAGCAAGGGGCACATTAAGGGATGCGTGCTGAAGAAATGTGGTGAAGGCTGATGGTGAACGGCTGCGACTTAATCCCTGCCCGTGGCTGATGTGATGTCGTGAATCGACGAACGACGCTTGTTATCCTTCTTGCTCATGCTGTTTAGCCTGATGAAGTACTTTTGCGCGTGAGACGCCACTTGCGTGGGCGTGCGAGTGACGACAAAGTTTCTGCTGATGCTGCGCCAGTCGCCCTTGCCAAACTTGTTCAATCCGAGAAGGAATAGTCTATGCTCTTCTTCAGTCCATGGAACGCCCTTTCGTCGTTCTTGATCGCCTGTCTTGGGAACGTTCTTGGACTTTTTCGCCGGCGGCGCGGCAGGAGCCGGAGCCTGAACCGCCGGAGCGGCGGGCTGCGCTTTGACGGTTTTCATCGGCGCAAAGCTGACTTCGGCCGTGACGTAGTCTTCGCTATCGACACCTTCGTCGTAATACTCCGGAAGAGACACGAAACCGGACTCGATCTCGCGAATGTCCTCCTTGAGCTTTGCATAGCGATCCTTCAGTTCTTGCACCGCCTTTTGCGGCATCTGTTGTTGAAGCTGTCCCCAGTAGTCGTCGCCCGTGATGGGCCAACCGTCGTACTGCGCCAAATTTGTCTCGAAGAATTTATCCTCCTCAAACGACCAACTCACGGAATCCGTCCCGAGAAGACCGAGACTGCTGTACATGAAACCGGCGTCGCCGTATCCGAAATCAAGCGTAGACATGTCTACTCGTCACGCGCACGCGCTGCCAAAAAATATAAGAATCCGCCTCTAACCTTGATCGGGATCGAGGGCTTTTGTCTTCACCACACGTGTGCGCGCCTTATGAGCGCCTCTGGGTGAACTGAAAGAATGCGAGACTCGGACAAGTCCCAGACTATGACGAGAGTACCTGAAAAAAAATCGCAAAGAGCGCTCCTCGTCAGCCACCGGTTTGTTGAACCTCTCGAATCCCCTCTTCACCAGTCATGACTCAAGTTTCCTCAGACGCCCCTTCGAGGCTGTTCCCCCGAGGTTCGAGGTTTCCGCCCGTCGACGCGCTCGCGTCGACGCCGCGACGACGCTCCGCGGGCGATCGCGCGCCCGTCACCGGCGCGATCATTCCCTTCGTCCGATCCCATCGTCCGCGATCGCGTTCGCGTCGCGCGCGACGCCCCCCACGGCGCGCGTTCCCCGTCCCCCGCGCCCGTCCCCGAACCGCGGTCGTTCCGCGCTCGAACTCGCTCGCTCGCGCACCGCGCGCGCACCTCGCTGGTTCTCACGCCCAAGTCGTGAATCGTAACGTTCCCGCGTCACCGATCACGTCCTCGGCGTTCGCACGCGTCGGTCGCGTCCACGGCGTCGTCGCGACGGAGATTGCCGCGCGATCTCGCGCGAGGCCTCGACGGTTTGCCCCCGCGCGCGCGCTCGACCGCGCGTCTCGGATCACGCGAGATATTTTCACCCACGTACGCGGGCGCGTATTTCCCTATGATTTCACCACGCCACGCGCGAGATCTCACATCTCGTGACGAAAGATCTCGTTCGAGAGGTCGGTGTGACGAGTCATGACTCACGGTTCGCCCGCGAGATTCCCACGGCGGGGAGCGCGCGGGGGGAGATCTCGCGGGTGGGCGTCGGCGCCGCCCGGGTGCGCGCGGTCGGGCGTCGGCGCCGCCCGGGCGCGCGCGGTCGGGCGTCGGCGCCGCCCGGGTGCGCGCGGTCGGGCGAGCGCGATGGACGACGCGCGCGCGGGGGGCGACGGAGGCGCGGCGGCGGGACGACGACGCGCGCGCGCGGGAAGGGCGACGGACGCGCGCGATGGTGGTCGAAGGCGCGGTGGAGCGAGCGGACGTGACGGACGTCGTGGAGGATGTGGAGGATATGTTCGACCACGGGCGGCGAACGACGACGGCGACGGCGGAGGATGCGGTGGCGGCGGTGTCGACGACGAGTGGGGTGGGACGGAGCGCGCGAACGCTCGAACCGACGGTGAACGTGCGCGCGCGTCGACGAGAGGGCGAGGTGGACGACCGGGGAGGGGCGGAGGACGATGAGACGGATGAGACGGGCGGGACGCGACCGGGACGCGGAAAGATCTTCGTGCACACGTTCGGGTGCTCGCACAATCACTCTGACTCGGAGTTCATGGCGGGACAGTTGCAATCGTACGGGTACGAACTCGTGAAGGATGCCTCGGACGCGGATGGGTGGTTGGTGAACACGTGTACGGTTAAGAACCCGAGTCAGAGCGCGATGAACACCGTCCTCGAGCGAGGCAAGGCGGCGAATAAAGCGCTCCTCGTCGCCGGTTGCGTGCCTCAGGGGGATAAGGGGGCGAAAGAATTGAAAGATGTGAGTCTTTTGGGGGTGACTCAGATCGATCGCGTCGTAGAGGCGATGGAGAGAACGCTTGCCGGCGACACCGTGCGCATGCTGGAGAAAAAGACGCTCCCGAGACTGGATCTACCAAAGGTGAGAAGGAACGAATTCGTCGAGATTTTACCCCTGAGTACCGGGTGCCTCGGAGCGTGTACGTATTGCAAAACGAAGCATGCGCGCGGAGATCTCGGGTCGTACGAAATTTCCGCCTTGGTGAGCCGCGTAGAGCAAGCAATCTCAGAGGGCGTGTCCGAGGTGTGGTTATCGTCCGAAGACACTGGGGCGTACGGGATAGATTTGGGGACGGATGTCGCGGCTTTATTTCGTGCCATCACCGCAGTGCTTCCCACCGATGGTTCGGTGATGCTGCGACTCGGGATGACGAATCCGCCGTACATTTTAGCTCACCTCGACGCGGTCGCCGAGGCGATGCGGCACCCAGCCGTATACGCGTGGATGCACATCCCGGTGCAGAGCGGGTCGAACGCCGTATTAGAGGCGATGAAACGCGAGTACACAGTTGAGGAATTTCGCACGGTTTGCGACACGTTACTGGAGGCCGTGCCGGGCATGGTCATCGCCACAGACGTCATTTGCGGATTCCCGGGCGAGACGGACGAGCAGTGGCGAGAGACCATGCAGCTCATCGAAGAGTACAAGTTCCCCGAGGTGCATATCTCGCAATTTTATCCTCGTCCAGGGACTCCTGCGGCAAGGATGAAGCGTGTCCCCACTCAAATCGTCAAAGGTCGCTCTCGAGAGCTCACCGTGCTCTTCGAGTCGTATCAGCCCCACCAGCACTTGGTCGGTAAGACGGAGCGCGTCTGGGTGAGTGATATTGCTCGCGACGGGACGTCACTCGTCGCCCACACGAAGAATTACACGCAGATCCTTTTGCCGGGGGGCGAGGACCAGCGCGCGCACTTGATGGGTCGAAGCGCTATGGTTGAGATCTACGAGTCGTCCCGCTGGTCGTGCAAGGCGCGAGTTCTGGAGGTCATTGATGCGGACCCCACCGTTGCCAGAGTTCGTCTCAGCGTCATTCCGAGCGAAGAGGAGTCAAAGATGATTCGTGAGAAGCTCACCAAGGGCAAGCGTGTTCGCATCAAGAAGGCGCAAGAGATGCCCGAGACCGGTTGTTCCGTGTGTGGAAGCGACTCTTCTTGCCCGTCGTCAAAGGAACCCGTCACGGCGCGTTACCTCTCGGTCGAAACTGTGTTGATCGCTGGCACGTGCATTGGGGCCATTAGTCTGGCTTGTGCGTTGTACGCGCGAAATAGAAGAAACTAGGAAAGATAGCTATTGACTTTACTGTTGAACATTGAATGTTGAGTCTACTCAAGTAACTTGCGCCCGCGTGCAACTAAATAAATCTCTCTACTCTCAGACCGCGTCGCGTTCGGCTTGAACCAGTTCACTTTATCAAAGTGCGGCTTGCAATGCTTCGCCAACTCTTCCACGCTGCCCGAGCCCTCCAAAATTTTGACCACCAGATCTCCTCGAGCTGCCAACACGCCACCGTCTCTAACCACCGCCAAGTCCACCGCGCACTCCGCCAACTCCAGCGAAGCTGCGGCGTCGACGCTCGCCAGCCCTCGCGTATTCACCATCATGTCCGACAACACCGCATCGAACGTCTCAACTCCCAGATCGCTCGCTCGAGCCTCGGTCGCATCGAGCGTCATCGTGGAAGCCCGCGCCGCGTCGACGTGTCGCAGACCCGCGAGCGTCCCTCGATCGATCTCCTTCAGGTCTATCCCCAGTACGCGCGCGCACGTCCCTCCTTGACGCCGTGTTCGCTCGTGAACGACTTGAATCCAAGCACCAGGCGCGCATCCGAGATCCAACACCGAGCGCTTGTTCCGGAGAAGCCGAAACTTTTCATCCAGCTGCACGAGCTTCAGCGCACTTCGAGCGACATATCCCAGCCGCTTTGCCTCTCGCGCGATGGGGTCGATCAGTCGCTTTGAGTTACTCGCCATTTCGGCATCGCGTGCGCGTCGCAATGTCGTAGTGTGAACGGGGGCTGACGAGAGGAAAGAATTGGTCGGAATACTATTAACTCTCTCACGCGCGGGATTTGTAGGTTCCCTCATCGGTGTTGACGATGATCTGGTCGCCGACGTTCACGAAGAGGGGAACGGTGACCACTGCGCCGGTCTCGATCGTCGCCGGCTTGTCACCCCCACTGGCGGTGTTACCCTTGAGACCCGGATCAGTCTCCGTCACGGTGAACGTGAAAGGGTTCGGCACCTCACACCCGATGACCTTACCGTTCCACTGCACGATGGCGCAGTCCATGCCCTCCTTGACGAACTTGTTCACCGCCACCGGCGGGACCCGAAGCTCTTCGAAGGTCTCCATGTTCATGAACATGTAATCGTCGCCATCCATGTACGTGAACTGCATTGTCTCCTTGGAGACGTCGGCGAGCTCAAACTTTTCACCAGAGCGAAACGTCTTCTCGTTGATGTTCCCCGTGAGCAAGTTGCGCAGTTTGGTGCGAACGAACGCCGATCCACGACCGGGCTGAACGTGCATGAACTCTACGCGCGCCACGAATCGTCTCGTCAGTCTCCACTCGTCTCCAGCGCGACGCGCGCCGAGCGAGCGGATAAAGTCGCGTGCGACGAGTATTCGCTCGGGCCGACGTACCAGTGATTCTCCACGGGTTGGAGTCGATCTCCAGCGACAGACCGACCTTAAAGTCCGCCGTGCTGCACGTCAGTGCGCTCACCTGCGTCGCGATAGATCCCTCGTCAGTCGGTCGCTCGTCCGAAAAGTTACCCCCGCCTCGAACGCGAGCATCGTCGAAACACGTCGCGTCTCTCTCGCGCGCGCGCGACGCGGCCGACGACGATGCACACCTTGACGGGACCGCGGGTCGCGCTCGCGCGCTTCGCGACGCGCGCCGGGGCGAAAGCGCGAGCGCTGGAGATGGAACTAGACGCCGAGAGCATCGCGCGCGTGTATGACGTCATGCGGTGTCCATCTGGGCCTTCGTGTGCTACACTATGGATGATGTTACATTTCAGTTGCGCGTCGACTTGACGAACACCGCGCGCTCGGACGGCAGTTTCTTCTCAGCCACGACGTTATCGGTGAAGGTTCGAACGAGCTGTGATTCAGAGGGGGAGAACGTGCCCTCGGTCTCCGAGCTGGGAAGGTGGGCGGCGCGCGACGTCGGAGCGCTCGACGACCGCGACGCCTGAACGGCGTCGAGTTTCGGAACGTCGATGTGAACGGGCGGCGGCGTTCGATCAGTCGGTAAGCCCGGTGAGACCTCATCGAGACGAAAGCTCGAACGAGGAGAGACACGGGGGGATAGGGACCCAGATTCAGATCTCGACTCGCCGAACACAGAGGCTGCAGCCATATGGAGCTCGGACGGCGGCTTCTTGGCCTCGTTCTCAGACACTCTGCGCTCGTTCCTCGCTTTTTTCTTCCAGGTCACGATGGCTTTATTCGTATACGCTTGAGCTTTGCGCACAGCTGCGTCCATCTGAGAATACGTCAAGCCGTGAGTCATCCATGAAGATATCCCAGGAGGTCGGAGGTGCATGTTGATACGGTGTTCCCGTGTGATGATTTCCAGATGCTTTTTCATTGTCGTTGCAGTCAGGGCGTGCAACACATCGGCGTACGACGGGTTTTCGAGCCGATCGTTACCATTGTTCAGCTTGGTTAGTACAAAAGGGTTTAAACGATCCCATAACAGCCCAAAGCTCCCCATACCGCCGTCATGAGGCGTCAGATCCCGAAAGCTGGAAAAGTCCTTGTCTTCCACGTCGACGACGATGACAGTTTCGACGCCCATCTCCTTCCGCATGACATCTACTGGGATACTATTCAAATAGCCTCCATCGACAAGCAGCTCACCGTTTTCGTTTCGTACAGGTGGCAGCAGTCCTAGCACCGTCATCGACGCCCGAATACATCGCCAAAGAGTTCCGCAAGTGTGCACCGTCAGGCACTTCTTGTTGAGATTGGTGCTGCAACAGAAGAAATTCAGCCAAAGATCCTCGATCGCGGTTTCTGCTCCGACAGATCTCTTGATTATTTCGTTCAAACCCTTACCACTGAACAGCGATAGGAGTGGGAGCGTAAGATCGGTGAGCAAGTGGCGCGGAGAATTCAACGCATGCATATTGTTCCGGAGCATTGGAAGAATATGTGATGATGACAGAGTCCTGGCGTACATGCCTGCCGTGAGAGTACCTTGGCTTGTTCCACCGATGCAATCGATCGGAATGCCGTTCTCTTCGAGCGCGCGCAGCGCTCCGAGATGGGCTAAACCTCCACCGCCACCGCCCGTCAGGATGACCCCAACGCTGTGTCCTGAAACATGTCTTGCGAGTCGTGACATATCATCCCTTGATGTCAACCGCACGTGATGATGGCGCATTTGTACACTTCTGCTCTTTACCCACACTTGAGTCTGGGTTGGTGTACTTCCTGGCTCATGAATCAAAATCAATTCAGGCCGCGCGGTGCGACGAGAACGCCACAGTAATCGCTGCTCATACAACTGTGGCACCTTGTTCTCACGATTGGCATGTGCCACGATGAGCACGCAATCCGCTTGACTTGCGCACACCTTACTCCAACTTGATCCGCGCGAGTCTGCCTGCAACACGATAAAACGATGAACTTCTTCTTGTTCTGCCATCCATCCGGTGAGCTTCGACCGATAAAAGTAGTTGTCCAAACGTTTCGTTGTACCGTCAGGGAAGATCTCATCGATAACGGAGCTATTCAGCAACAAAGTAGACCCAAAGACCGATAGACTTTGTCTCAGTGCGTCCGAAAACTCATCGACCTTCGTTTCTGGATCAGCGGGGATCAGACAAATCGTCACAAGCTCGGCGTAGGACCGATCTCCAGAGCGAAGGTTCAGTTGCAACTTGTTGGCGACAATCTCAAGCAAGCGACTGGATACCTCGCTGTGATGAGCAGTTATGATCTTCAGCGCCCCGTGAGACATTCTCACGAGCTCTGAGTCTCGTGATGTCACCGCGCTCGACGAGTATTTTCCATGAGCGAGCAAAGGAGCCTCCCCGATCGTGTCTCCACGACCTCTCTCGCGAATAGTCTCATCATCGTGCTTCTGCGGTGGAAAATGTAAACGCACCCGTCCACTGATGATAACGAACATACTCGTCGCGTCTTCGTCGACCATGAAAACGTGCTCTCCACTCTTCAGCCAAACCCGATTGAGTCCGAAGCCGATGAAGTTGCGGATTAGAACACCGAGAGACGCCGACGTCTGACGCAGCAAGACGATGTAAGCCTCTGTCTCAGTGGCGCGAAGTTTGTCAAGAACTTCTGACGTGATGACGAGCATTTCGCAATCATCATGCGCGAGTTGCGTCTCTCTAAAAGATGCACGCGTCATGAAGTGCGCTGAACCGATCAGCTGGGGCGCTCTGACGGGCTCTCCACGGACTCCGTTACCTTTCGGCCACGGTATGGCTTCGCGCAATATTGAACCTTTCGTGAGAATGTAAAACACCTCGGTCGAATCACCCTCCGCGAAAAGCACCTCTCCCTTCAGAAACTTTTTGACTGAGCAATGCTCACTAACGACCTTGAGATGCGAACGCAAGTCGGAATCCTTCAGTGAACATGCATCGTCAGCCGCCGGTTGCCCTCGAAGGGACTGACGCGGTAGTTCGAGGAAATCAATCAAAGAGAACTGTGCCACCCGCCAGAGTCGCGCGATGGCTTGCTGCAAGTAAAGTTGCAGCGTGTACGGATGTTTTCGAACGAAATCTAAGAAGACTGTCTGAGACACTCGCACGACTCTCGCCCCGCCTTGCATCGCAATGCAGCTCACGCTTCGCCGCGCGCTATCAAGGACGTCCACGTCTCCCACAGACTCCCCCTCTTGAAGTATATTCGTCATCACTGGCGGCGCCCCGCTCGTGGACTGCAAGTACACCCCGACCGAACCCTCGACGACGACGTAGATCCCGCTCGAACTATCGTCTCCTTGCCTAAACAGCACCTCGTTGGGCGCCAACCGCTCCTCCGCGCTCGCCTCGAACAACTCCTTCGACAGCTCGAGCTCGAGCACGCTAAAAAACTTGGTGCTCGCGAAGAAATTAGGCGTATTTTCGCGCCTCAACGTCTCCTCCTCCCCCCGTCGCTCCTCATCCATCGACCGTCTCCGCTCGCCGCCGTCTTCATCCGCGCTCCAGAATTCATCGTCCCGGCTCGTCGAGCTCCCCCCCAACGACGCCACCGACCCGTGCGCGGTCGGTCTCAGCGCCTCCGCGGAGTCCCCGCCCACCCCTCGCACCCCTCTCGCGGTCGCACCCCCCCTCGACGCGTTCTTTTCGTCCCGCGTCGTCCCAACCGTCGTCGCCTCGGACGACGACGCCTTCGCATTCTCCCATCGCGTCCACGCGTGCATCGTCACCCCCAGCGCCCCGAGCGCGGACGCGAGGGCGCACGTCGCGACGACGGCCCGTCGCGCGCGCGCGCGCGCGGACGACGCGGCGTCCACGACCGACATCGCGCGCGGGCGTGACGGCGGCGGCGTCGGCGCGCGCGGTCGAGTCAGCGCGACGTGTGTGGTCGTTTCGTGAGTCACGACTCGTGGTGAAGGACTCGACGACGCCCGACGCCGACCCCGCGCCAGCGCGCGACGGGCGCGGGGTCGGACGCGCGCGACGCCGTCGCGGTCGCGATGAAGCACCCGGCGGTGATCCTGGGCGTATGCGCGATGGATAAAAAGTCTCGGAGCAGCGCGATGCGAGAGATCCTGACGCGCATCGAGGCGTTCGGGGAGTTTGAGATCGTCGTCTTCGGCGACGAGCGCATCGTGAACGATCCGGTGGAGACGTGGCCTCGGGTCGACGCGTTGGTGTCGTTTTACTCCAATGGGTTCCCGTTACAAAAGGTGGAGGCGTACGTGGAGCTGGTGAAACCGTTCGTGGTGAACGATCCGCACGACCAGTGGACGCTGCTCGATAGGCGATTGGTGTACAAGCGATTGCAGGAGCATAACATCCCGGTGCCGAATCACATCGTGGTGAATAGGAATGATTACGTCAAGAGAGGGGGGTTACGGAAGAAGCCAAAGGGAGACGAGGTCGCTCTGCCGGATCAGCCGACGTTTGAGCCGAAGGAGTTTAGTCAGGATGAAGAATACGTGGAGATTCAAGGGAAGCGGATATGCAAGCCGTTCGTGGAGAAGCCGGCGAACGCGGAGGATCACAACATATTCATTTATTATCCACACAGCGTGGGCGGGGGGTACAAGCGACTTTTTCGGAAGATTGGGAATCAGTCAAGTCAGTACTACCCTCCACCGGAACCCGTCGGCGACGGGTTGCCGTACACGCCCGTGCGGGAGACGACGTCTTTCATCTACGAGGATTTCATGTCCACGAACGGTACCGACGTTAAGGTGTATACCGTGGGGCCTAACTACGCGCACGCCGAGGCGAGGAAGAGTCCGGTCGTAGACGGGAGAGTACAGCGAGACGAGAGCGGCAAGGAGGTGCGCTACCCAATTTTACTCACTCCAGAGGAGAAGGAAATCGCTCGACGAGTCGTCTTGGCGTTCGGACAGAACGTGTGTGGGTTCGATCTACTTCGTGCGAAGGGTAGGAGTTACGTCTGCGACGTCAACGGCTGGAGTTTCGTAAAGAATTCGAAAAAGTACTACGACGACGCCTCCGTGTGTTTACGTGCAATGATTTTGAAGGCCGTCGCTCCGAATCATTTGAGCACCAAACCCGCCCAAAAAGCCGCAGCCTCTCGTGCTGACGAGCCTGACGTAATTTCTACGGATGGATTCACCGAAGCTGAGCTGAACGACTTCATTCCCGAAAGGGTGCCAACGCCCACACCGAGCGAACCCGCGGAGGAGCTTCGCGCAGTTTTGGGTGTTATCCGACACGGTGATCGCACTCCCAAGCAGAAAATGAAACTGCGCGTCACCAATCCCGAGTTGCTGAGCCTGATGCTCCGATGCACGAACGGTCGCACTAGAAAGCAGGCCAAACTCAAAACTCCTCAACTGCTTCAAGAGCTCTTGGACATTTGCAGAGACATTTACGCGGGACTAGCTGAACGTTCTTCTCAAGCAGACATCACTCTGAGCGAAGAGGCGCTAGAAGAACTCGAGGCGTGGAAACAAATAGTATCCATTCTCGAGGAAGGCGGTCACTTCAGCGGGATTAATCGCAAGGCACAGCTCAAACCTCTAGAGTGGGAGAAGGTTGAAGGAGAAAACGACGTACAAAATGAAAAGGTTGTCGAGGCGCTTCTGATCATTAAATTTGGCGGAGTACTTACATACTTGGGTAAATACCAGGCCGAAGCGCTAGGTAAGGCTTTCAGAGTTCGTATGTACCCACGAGGCAATTATTACGGCTCCGACGCCGACGGATTACTTCGATTGCACTCGACGTACCGTCATGACCTGAAGATTTACTCCTCTGATGAGGGGCGCGTGCAGATCACTGCAGCAGCCTTCGCGAAAGGTTTACTCGCTCTGGATACGCACCATGGTCAGTTGACGCCAATTTTGGCTTCTCTTGTCACCAAGGATGCAAAGCTGCTAGACTTTGTCACCCACGATGTCGAGGAAGATATCTTACACTCAAAGCACAAGCTGTATGCGGCGATGACATCGAAGCCGGATCGTCGGCCAAGTGAAACTGAAACAGAAACCGGAGCCTTGAATCAGACGTTGCGCTTTGCTTCGTTAAACAAGTTCAAGATTGTTACTCAAATGGTGATCGCATCGCATCGAATCCAGTCGGCTCGCGATTTCTCCTCTTCGGGATCCCCGCCTGACACGAATCGAGGCTCTGGTTTTGTGATCAAGGAGAAACTTATGGGTGTGCCGAATCAACCGCTGCGGAAACTTGAGAAAATGTACGAGCTCACCAAATTCATCGCAGTCCAGCTTAGAACGACGCTGATGGCACAACAGACAAGGTACGACATGTCTCCTGGAGCAGGAATCACAAAGCCGGATACTCGTTCTGCTCTTGCCCCTCGCGGTTCTCTTCCGAAGGGTGGTATTCAACAGCTGAAGGAGATGACTCTCCCTGCTGGAGGGGAATCGTTCTTACTCATGTACTCGAGATGGAAGAAGCTGGCAGAGGATCTGTACCACTCACGGAAAGAGCGATTTGATATTTCCAAGGTTCCGGACGTGTATGATGCGGCCAAGTACGACGCAATTCACAACGAGCACCTTGCGTTGGATGGACTGGAAGAGTTATATGAGATTGCGAAGGAACTCGCGGACTGCATCGTGCCAAACGAATACGGCACTACTACTTCCAGTAAACTGCGAATCGGTGGTACGATTGCGGCAGGTTTGATTGGAAAGCTGCTGAGTGATCTGAACAGCACTCGCGAGGAGTCGTTCGCTGTCGAAACTGGAATCGACAGCGGTATGCGTCGTATGTCCATAAGTGAAAAATCATCAGCGGTAGTTTTGAAAGAAGAAGAGGATGGTGAGCCAATTGACGAAGAGGCGGACGAAAATAATGAGGAAATCGAGGAGCTCAACACAACACGCTTGAATTTGCGCTACGCAACAGCTCATGGCGTTCATAGCCCATTCAGACACGTGCGCACTCGACTGTACTTCACGTCGGAATCACACTTACACTCGCTTCTAAATGTTTTGCAGTACGCTCATCTTGATAATACTCGGGATGTTGAACGAGAAGGCCGATCAGCTCAAAGTGCAGCTGCGAGTGATCAGAGCGACGGAGACAAGCCGAGTGCTTTGATCTTTACCCCAGGCCCTCGATCGAGCCCGAGCAAACCTCCCGGCTTACCCCTTGGAAGTCCTCCAATGAGATCACCGACTCTGGGCTCGCCTAAGGGTGAAAAGTCCGTTCAAAGGGGAGCCCAACCCGATGAAGCACAACCTCAGGTTCGCGCGTCCCTCATCAATGACAGCTTGAGAGCGCTTATCAGTCGAGAGAAAGAGCTGGATTACCTCACGCATATCGTGTTCCGTATGTTTGAACGCTTTCAAGTCCCTCCATCGGATCCGAGGCGATTTAGAATTGAAATCTTGTTCTCCAACGGTGTGAACATGCATCCGTTCAAGAACAACACAGTTGACATTTTCGACAAGATTGTGGGGGGTGCCTCGTCGTCTGACAAGGGCGCGGAGAGACGCGATGATGAGGACATATCTGATGAGTTGCTTAAAGAGGTTCCCATACAAAATGATCGAATCAAGCGCGATGATCCGTATCTTACCCTGAGCACGATGGAGGAGTATCTCGCCAACTTCAACCGGCGAGGAAATCGTGACTCACATGTCGACACGCCTGGCAAGAAGGCCCGGTCGTCGAGCGTTGGAAGCGATGGAGGCAAATCGGGGTCGGCAAAAAGTTTGTTCGCGTGATTGGGCGATAGCCAATAACTTTGTTTTAAAACATTCTACTGTATGATACCGAAACAATAAATTCGCAACTCAACTGCTCAAAGCAAGTCTAGTCGCCCCGCTCCCAGACAAGCATAGAGCGCTTGCCAACCATGACGTCCGCGAGCTGGACGAAACGCTTCCAGACGCTTTCTTGAACGTACGGTACGCCATACTTCTCGCAGACAGCCTTGACACGCGGTTGCATGTTTTGGTACGCCCGCATGGACATGTCTGGGAACATGTGGTGCTCGATCTGGTAGTTCAACCAGCCGTGCATGAAGTCGTTCACATCACCGCCTGTTCTGAAGTTGGCGGAACCGATCACGGCACGGAGGTAGAAGTCATCCGATCGCGGCTTGGTCTCAGTCTCGAAACGATAGATGTCGTCACCGACGTGGTTCGTTGCGATGATGATGAATGAGTGCACGTTGGTCATGACGTCGGCGAGAACAGACGTCATGAACCACGCGAGCGCCACGCTCTGGCCTCCAATCGCGTAGCCAATGGCCGGGAGGATACCGAAAGACCAGGTGGCGTACGGCGCGAAGCACTTGACAGTTTCCCAGAGCGCACCAAACTGACCCTTCGTGACCGCGCCCGAGGCGACAGTGAGGACAGTCGACGGCAAGGAACCCGTCTTGAACGGGTTCGGCGCTTCGGCACCAGCCTTGGTGGCTTCGCGCTCCTTCCGCGCGAAAAGTTCCTTCAAGGTGTTCGGCGCGTAGTAGAACCACTTCCAAACCAGAGCAAGGCCGGCGACTTGCGCGTAGCGGAGCACCATCGGAGACTTGCCCTCGCGCGTCGGGCGCATGTTACGCTCGACGAGATCCGGATCCGCGTCTTCACCGAGTTGGTAGTGGTGAAGGTGGTTATGCTCGACATCCCACGCTTCTGGGAGCATCCAGTCCATCCAATCGGTGCATCGGCGCCACAAGCCACGCGCAAACTTTCTGCGGTGGAAGCGACCGGTGACTTCTCCATTCGTGCTTTGAGCGGCGTTGTAGCCCCCGTGGCACGTGTGGTGACCGACCATGGTCCACCTGGCACAGATAGCGACCGACATAAAGAAGGCTGCGATCGGATTCATACCATTGAGCCACCCCGGCATGTTCAAACCCATCGCCGGCATCGCGGCCAACAAGCCGAGACCGCCAAAGTAGCACAGGTTCGCCCACGAGAGAATCTTCTCGAGATGCTTCACATCCTCCTCGAAGTGCTGCGGCGACTTGTACTCCTTTTCAATAGCACGCATCTCCGCCGCCCAGCCCGCGAGGTCGAGCCCTTCCCGCCACTTCCCGGTCTCGTTGTACGTCATCTTCTCAAACGAGCCCGATCCGGACGCGACGCCATCGATCGCGATCGCCCCGTTCCCGCACGCCCGCGAACCTCTGGTCGAGGACACCGATCCAAGCGCCCCTCGTCGCGCGATCGCCGTCGCGGTCGCCCGAACCGGGCGCGCCGCGCGATTCACCGAGCGCGCACCGCGAGCGGGTTGCGCCCGCGACGCCGTCGGCGTGGAAAACGTCGACGTCGCGGCGCGCATGTCGATCGTTGCGTGATCGGCGACGAACGCGAGCGCGCGATTTGCGTGTTCTTTGAGCCGTGCGACGCGCGCGCGGCGTGCGAGGGCGCGCGAGGGCGTGAGTGCGGCGCGATCGCGGCGCCGCCGACGCGCGCGCGGTGACGTCCGTCGTTATCCAGGACGGACCCGTGGAGGGGGTATTTTCTGAGTCATGACTCGGGTATAAATATATCCCGCGACATTTTGCGGTGACGTCGACCACGGGTGTGGCGGAGATTTCATTTTCGATCCTCGTGTGGGCGAACAGTCTGTGGGAGAGCCACAGAGACGTGACGGACGCGCGAGGGGAGGACTGCGGGGGAGAAGGAGGACGCGCGCGAGCGGCGATGGTGGTGGAGTCTCATTCAAACTCAGAAAAGAATTCTATGGTGGATCGGAGGGCATCGATGAAGGCGTCGACGTCTTCGCGAACGTTGTAAAAGTAGAGACTGGCGCGCGCGCTCCCGGGAACGTCGAGGTAGCGGTGCAGGGGCTGCGTGCAGTGATGGCCGCTGCGGCAGGCGATCCCGGCTTGGTCCAACAGCGTGCACAGATCATTAGCGTGGATGCCCTCGACGTTGAAGGCACAGAGCGAGGCACGGCCTCGTGACGGCGGCGGGCCGTAAATGGTCACCTTTGGCACCTGGGAGAGCTTCTCATACAGGTAACGACCGATTTCAACCTCGTACTCGTGGATGCGGTCCATACCGATTCTCGACAGGTAATCGCACGCCGCTCCGAGCGCGATCGCCTCCGCGATCGCCGGCGTGCCGGCCTCGAATCTTCCCGGCGGCTCAGCGTACGTGCTCCTCTCCAGGAAGACGTCCTGAATCATCTCGCCGCCGCCCATCCAGGGAGGCATCGTCTCAAGTACGTCGAGACGACCCCACAAAAAACCTATACCCGTCGGTCCACACATTTTGTGACCGCTACCGACGATCCAGTCTGCTCCGAGCGATTGCACGTCGACGGGCATGTGGGGCAAGCTCTGGCACGCATCGAGAAGCACCTTGGCGCCGACGCCACGAGCGAGCTCTACAATCTCAGCCACTGGTGCCTCACCGCCAGTGACGTTGCTAACATGCGCCGTCGTGATGAGTTTTGTCTTCTCGTTCACGAGTGAACGAAGCTCAGCAATATCCAGCTCCTGCGTATCCTTCGTGAGTTTAACAAACTTCAAAACGCACCCAGTGCGCTCCGCGAGAAGCTGCCAGGGCACAATGTTCGAGTGATGCTCCAGCACGCTTAGAATTATCTCATCCCCGGCCTCCAAGTATTTCGTTCCCCACGTGTTCGCCACTAGGTTGATCGCTTCGCTCGCGTTTCTTGTGAAGACAATCTCCCTATCCGTCTTTGCGTTTACGAACCTCGCAATTTTCCGCCTCGACAGCTCATACGCGTCCGTCGCCTTGCTGCTCAGGTAGTGCACCCCTCGGTGCACATTCGAATTGTAGTCCTTATAATAAAACATGTGCGCGTCCACCACCTCGTTCGGCTTCTGCGACGTCGCGGCATTATCCAGGTACACCAACTGCGCCCCGCTCTCGGTTTTCTGGTCCAGAATCGGGAAATCCTTCCTCGTCTCCTCCCCTAACGTCGTCGGCCTCCGCTCCGTCGACGCGCTCGCCTCCACGCGTGCGCTTCGACCTCTCCAATTGTTGCATCGCCCTCGGCGGTGATGCCCCCGAGCGTGTGACGCGAGCGCCGAGAGCGAGGACGTCCCCGCCGGCATGACCCCGTGACGTCGAAAACTTTACGTCGCGCGCGCGTTCTCGATAAAAGACGCCGTGCGATGAGAGCGAGACGTCGCGTGAATCGATCACGCGCGTTCCCGCGTCTGAGTTCGGTCGTCGAGCGCGACGGTGGGCGTCGTGAAGTGTGGGTGTTCGCGTGGGCACCTGTTCTAGAGGCTTCTCGAGCGACCCCCAAGCGATTACGTTTCGTCGTATTCAGAAGTTTTCCTCGTCGTCAAAATTGGCGACGTCGGAGGCAGCGACGATCCCGGGAAGGCCCACAGACTTGCGAAGGTTGCTACGGGTCTTTGCCTTGTTTTTCGCAATGCTCGAAGGGAGCTCAGGTTTGGCCGTCTTTGTTGGCGTCGAGTTCGACTTGCCCATTCGGGAGAGGGATCCGTTACCTTTGGACGGCCCGAGGTTTCCGCCCGACAGCTGACGAATGAGCTCCCCAGAGAGCTGTCTCTCGAGTTTCGGCGACTGATTGTACATCTCGACGAGCGCGGGGACGGGATCTCCGATGAGATTTGCGTCGATATCCTTCACTCGCTCGGCTCCAGTGTGCTTCTCACAAAACGCGGTGTACTGGCGTCCCTCACAGTCGATGACTCTCATGTGGCACGCGGCGCGTCTGCAGCACAGCGGATGAAACACGTTGTGGCAGTATCCAGAGCGGCAACGCATGAGTATTCCTTCCGAGCGAGTACAATAACTGCACGAGGCGTTTCGCCGCTCTCGAGGAATGCTCTCGGGAGGAACCCGTTCAATGGCGTTCACTACTCTGTCCTCGCGTATCGAAGCTTCGGGGACCCACTTCGCGCAGACGACGTGACACCAGTCTTTTCCATCCGTCGTCCTCTTGAATGCACCAATTTTCACCGGGCAAAGTACACACGACACCCCTCGATAGAGAGCCAACTTGCCCTGAACAGCGACACTCGCTTTCCTCTCTGTCTTCGGGATGCCGCCGCCAGCTTTTGTGACTTCGGTGCACACGCAGCACAGCCACTCTAAGTCGGTCTTTTGCCCAACTCCATAGCAACCTGGGTGTACGATGAGCTCACACTGCGCGCACTGTATCGTTTCATTCATCTTTGCGGCTTCTGTCGTCCCAGCGCACACGCAGCACGCAGTGTTGTCGGAGACCGCATGGAACGGATCCAAGAGTACTTGAGACATTGGCGAACGAATGGGTGACCCTCCGATAATCGGTGAGCCACTCCTCGGTGTGACTACTCCAGACATGAACGATTTCAAGTGACTCGCGGTGGATTCAGTCGCAAACTTTCCAAGGCCAAACATCTTCTTGACCCGAGTCGGGGCAGCTTCAATCGCCTTCATTACGGCCTGCGCACTTGGCGGTCTGTACACAGGAATCTCGGTCTTCGGAATCTGAATCACCGCTGCAGCCGAACCTAACTCTCTCTTCGGTTTGTGCTCACGTCTACCATCACCGACCGCTGCCTTTGCACGCTCAAGCGCCGCGAGTTGATCGGCTTCACGCTTTTCCTTCTTCTGCTGACGCTTTATCTCTCTGATACCGGCCATATACACACCAGCTTCGTCCAGTATATTCTTACGCTTCGCGTGATTTTCATTGTCTGCGTCCAATTCGTTCCCTATGTTACCCTGGGCTTGCAACAATATGTGTCTATTCGCCTGAATGCGCCAGAGAAGCTCGTACTGAAGACTCAATATCTCACCCTCGACTTCATCACACGGAGCACACGACGCCAAGCGTGGATCTTCGCGCAAAGCTTTCTCGATTCGACAGAGCTCAACGTCCGCGGGCGCGTTCTTCTTCACCCGTTTTACCGACGACGGGAGTTGAATCTCCTCGCTCGATCGGGCACTTTTCTTCACACAATTGATACTCCCATCGCTCTTTCCGCACTTCTTGGACAGCGTTTTGAGCTTCGCACACACTGAACAAGGATGAGAAGATTCGTCGTGAAGACTGGGGGTGCCATGTTCCGCTGTCTCGAGTTTGAAATACCGGCTCAACAGGATTTCTGTGTGTGCCGGAATCATCTCGTCCGTCCATCCTTGCTCAAAATGACGGAGATCTCCATCAAACCCAAAAGCCTTTGCACACTCTTTCATGGTTTTCTCTTCGATGTCCAAGCCCTCGTCGTCGTCTACTAACTCATCGATATCCATGTCCTCACGAGTTCGTTCATCACCTGCAATCGTCGTCGTCCCCGCGCTCGAAGGCAACCCGTCTACGCCTTGTTCGCTACATGACGTGAGATTTGACGGAACGTTCACAAGGCCGTAAGACGCCGCCATGTCAGGTTCGTTGTCCTTAAAAATTAGGTCACGATCCAACTTCTTCGTTGCCTTCGCCGCAGCCTCACGGCGAGCATCTAGGTATGCATTAATGCGGGACGCGCTCTCATGACGAAGCCAAACCTTTAACATCTCGTGCACCTCGTCTGATGTTGTTTCTTTGTCCGATGACGCTCTCACAGTCTCCTCGGGCTCCAGTCCATTTTCATGTTTTGAGATCCACCCGTTCAATTCCGTCATGGAGACGCCCACGAATTTGGCTATATCTTGCGTGATATCACCTCCAAGACTCAGAAAAGTTCTAACTAGCATCGCCACCTCGTGCGCTGTGAGATTCTGCACAAGCTCGATTCCCTCCTCATGCTCCTTCAACTTGGGCATCACGAAAGGTTCAGACGGCACCGCCGGGATCGTGCCGATCAACGCTTTCTTCTCGTCCTTTGATGTGGGACTTGGCGCTGATGTTGACGCATTTTCGCCTCTCCTTGCGTAATTCAGACCCGGAATCGGGATCCCAATCTTGTCCTCTCCGACCTCGTATCTCGGACCCACGCACGTTGTTCGAAGCGCGCTGTCGAAAATCCAAGGCGTTCCCGGCGCAATTCGAGCGATATCCGTCGCGTGAACATGTCTAAAGAACTCTTCTGCGTATCTCCACCAAGGTGATGTCTTCTTTACCTCTTTTCCTTCCTCTGGAGCCACCCCGAGTCCTCGTTTTTTCTGCGTCGTGAAACGATACGTCAGTCACCCTCCTTTCGGAAAGCTCTCTATATTGACCCACATTCCTTGAGCGCACGCGTATCGCATCGAACGAACGAGAATACAATACGCACACTTGATGCCTTCGCCGCTCGTCTCTTCTCGATCTCATCTAAGCTCGCCGCCTCGGACACGGTGTACGGCGCGCGAAGACGCGGTCCGCCCGGCGCCGCTCGCGGGAGCAATGTCGCAACCTTCGTGAGCTCTTTTTCGTACGCATCCACGGCATCGCGAACGGACATCTTCTTCCCACCCTTGACGCTCGGCATCGTCCACGGCGCCATCGCTCACGACGCTCGACCGAGCTCGAATGCCTTCGTCTCGAACCCGATCCTCCGTCTGCTCCAGCGTCCTTCCGCCTCGAGACGCCTCCACCCCCCCCCCGCGGCGGTCGAGCGCGACGACCACCGCTTCGCGAACGCACGCTCGATCGATCGCCCCCGAACGCGCGGGCGCGGCACCGCGACGGCTCCCGCGTCCCCTCCGCGCGCGCGCGCCGACGGCCTCGACGCGGAGGCGCCCTCTGGCGCCCCGTTCGAAACATCTCCGTCGGTCGATCGAAAGGCGGTCGATCGGTCGATCGGTCGATCGGTCGATCGCGCCACGACGCGCGGGACGCACCGCGCCCACCCCACGGGTCTTCATCACCGATCAAAAGGAGATCGATCGACCGGTGATCACACCAACGCGCGAGGTTTCGCATCGATCGTGTGTGAATCGGTCGTACGTGGTTCACCGGTCGAACAGAGGTCGTTTCGATCGAAAGGAGGTGGTTTCGATCGAAAGGAGGTGGTATCGACCGAAAAGACGTGGTATCGATCGAAAGGAGGTACTTTCGATCGAAAGGAGGTGCTTTCGATCGCAAAGAGTTGGTTTCGATCAAAAAGACGTGGTTTCGATCGCAAAGAGTTGGTTTCGATCAAAAAGACGTGGTTTCGATCGAAAAGAGTTGGTTTCGATCGAAAGGACGTGCTTTCGATCGAACGGTGGTGATTTCCATCAAAAGGAGATCGTTTCGATCGAAAAGACGTGGTTTCGATCGAAACGAGGTACTTTGGATCGAAAGGAGAGGCTTTCGATCGAAGTGCGGGACACAACCGGTCGTCTGCTCGAACGAGGAACCAGTCCATGGACCGGTCGAGATTGAAAAGTGGTAAAGGTGACGACCGGTCGTCGCCGCGCCAGACGCCGGCGGTCCTCGGACGCGCGCGCGCGTGTACGCGCGGACCGCGGGATCGATGGCGCCGCCCCCGCTCGTGGTCGTCATCGTCGGGCCCACGGGGTCGGGAAAGACCCGATTGGCGATCGATCTCGCGCGCGCGCTCGGAGGAGACGTCGTGAATGCGGACGCGCTGCAAATGCACAGAGCGTTGCCGATCTGCACAGCCCGCGTGCGCGACGACGAGACGCGCGGAGTCAGACACCATCTGCTCGGATTTGTCGAACAAGGTGATTCGTTTGACGTCCGCGAGTTCGTCGACCGAGCGGGGACGATCGTGCGCGAGGTGGTTGGCGAGGGACGAAGCGTCGTCGTCGCCGGCGGGACGAATTACTACGCGCAGGCGCTCGTGAGCGACTCGTTGGTGGATCTCAGCGATGGAGAGAACGACAGTGATTTACCATGCGCTTCCAGCATCGATAACCGTCGAGAAACGGAGGGACGACGTACGGCCATAGACGATGGAACGGTCGACGCAGACGCCGGGACGGCGCATGCGAGGCTCGCCGAGGTCGATCCTGAGAGCGCGAAGCGGCTCCATCCGAACGATGTGCGGCGCGTTCGTCGGTACTTGGAGATATACAAAGAAACGGGACGCCCACCGAGCGAGATATTCAAAGAACGGCGAACTATGCGAACGTTTAGGTCGCGTTTCGACTCTCTCGGATGCCGAACTGTGTTCATTGCCCTTCGATGTGACTCAAACACTCTGGATCGAGTTCTTCGCCATCGAGTGGAGTCTATGGTTGAACGTGGCTTGGTTGGTGAATTAGAGGATTTCGCACGCGCCCACGGTATCGACGAGAGGGACGACGCACGTGGAGACGTGAGGCAGGCCATCGGCTACGCGGAGTGGAAGACGTTTCTTCGAGCTCAGATTGATAACGATGTAACGACCCTCACGGTCGACGAAGTCGACAAGTTGCGCACGGAAGCGATCGAATCGACTATTCTAAACACTTGCCGACTTGCGAAACGTCAGCAGGCGCGAGTGCAGACGTTCGTCACTCGATATGGCTGGCCTGTAAAGTATGTCAATTCGACGCTCTCCCTGATCGATTTTCTTTCAAACATGTCTCGTTTTGAACAGACCTGGCAGGAGACCGTGGTGGACGTCGCATTGGAAGCGTGCGAATGCGTGCGAAATAGCATTAAGTACAGACAAGACACCGATCCGACACCACAAAACGTAAGTTCACCTTCAGACGAGTGGACAGTCCGTCGATGCGAGTGTTGCGACAAGACGCTTCGAGGCGACGTTGAGTGGAGAGCGCACGTGAGTGGTAGACGACATCGAAAGGTGGCCTCGGCTGCGCGCAAGCGACAAAAAGGAGAATTCGGTCACAGACACCCGTCTAGATCGGTAGGACTTAGCGAAATTAGCGATTAGTTTGTTAGAAAAGGTAGTGCGTGTTGTTTCAACAGCTTGACCGACGATTGTCTCGTCGTGTCTTCACATTCCTGGAAATTTGGGGATCAGAACCGGAGTCGTCTTCTTGTACATCTTGTAGTCCTCGTCACTGCCCCACCTCTCATCACCCATGCGTTCTAAGATTGGAATCCCGCTCATTTTTGTGAGCAAAAACGTGACAAAAAGCGGCGACGCGAAGGCGCCGATGGCCCGACCCGGGTTCGACTCTGCCAAGCCGTTCGCCGCGATCCCCGCCACGGAGGCCCACATGACGATCTCACCAAAGTAGTTTGGGTGACGAGACAAGGACCACAGGCCGTGTTTGATGAACTTCCCTTTATTCTTTCGATCCGACTTGAAGATGAACTTTTGTACGTCAGAGACGACTTCAAACGCGAACCCAAAGCACCAAATCGCCAAGAGTGCCCAATCTCCACCGTTCAATTCACGCAGTTGTCCCGGGGAACCGTTGACGAGATACGCTGGCAACGAGGTCACCCACACCCACACCCCTTGCAAGAACCAGTACACCGCAAAAGTCGCCGGTTTATCCTTCACGCCGTCGAACCGCGAGTCGCCTCCGTCCCGATGCGCCCGCGCGCCGAGGAAGATCCCCAACCGTGCCGTCCAAGCGAGCACCAATCCGCTCACCAACTTCTGTCTCGGCAGCATCACCGACCCCCCGAGCGTCATCGCCGCCGTCGACGCGAACGCAACGCTTCCCAGAACGTCATAAAACTTCTCCGTCTTCATCGCGCTCGCCGCGGCCCAACCGACGAGCTGGATCCCAAAGTCCACCACCGCCGCCCCCAGGAGGGACGACTGCACCGCCCCGCCCGGGATCCAATCCAACGCGTGTCCCATCGCGTCCGCCGTCGTCGACGCCCCGCCTCGCGCGCGCGTCCCGCGCCCGGCGTCGATGCGCGCGCGCGTC